GGGTCCCCCGGCTAATTTAAATGTGTCATCTGTGCTGCTCTCCTTTCTGGAGCCCAGAGAGAATCTGTTTCCTCGCCGTTTCCAGCTGCTGGAGACTTCCTGCATTCCTTGTCTCCTGGACCCCTTCCTCCATCTTTAAAGCCAGCAATGCCCAACGCCTCTGACCCTGCTTCTGTCATCACAAACCTTTCTCTGACCCCTGATGTGGAAGATTTCCCACTTTTAAATGTGCGTGGGATGAGATCTGGACCACAGATAATCTAGGATAATCTCCCCTTCTCAAAGTACTAAACCTTAAACACATCTGCCAGTCCCATTTGACATGTAAGATAACACATTCACAAATTCCCAAGATTAGGACATGTATATCTTTTTAGCAAACATGGGGATATGAAAAACACAGCAAACCAATAGATCTGATTATAACCCAGATTAAGAGAAAGTGGATAAACAAGATAAATAGATACTAACCTATCCATCACAAGGATTATTGATTGTATCAGATGCTTCTGTTACATGATATTTTAAATATCCTATCTTATTTTCCACAGAGAGGTGGAAGACAAAAGGATGGAAAACATATTCTGCGCCAACAGTGGGCAGGAAAGCAAATGTGACTATATTAACGCCAAAGACTTCAAGGCAAGGAGTTATACCAGAGACAAAAAGGGGCCTTTTAGCATGATAAAGGTGTGGAATCATTAAGAATCCTATATAATAGCTAATATGAAAACTGTCCCCACAGGCAGGAGTTCAGTCAACCGGGAGTTAGACATGTGCTGACCACCAGGGGGCAGCACGGGACATGACGGGCATTGGCCACACAGTGCTGGCAGTGGAGGCACTGCCAACCCCAACTGGCCCCAAGGAAGGTGGGGCTGTGATGGGATGGTGGAGCAGATGATCAGCGTCAGGCCAAGGCAGGTGCAAAGCGAGGCCCTGGCCAGTGGCAGCAGCAGGCAGCCAGGGGAAGGGAAGCCCCAGCCGGCAGCCAGCAGCTGGTAGGGATCCTATCTGTGCAGGAATTCCATGCACTGGGCCTCTAGTAAATACTAATCCTAAATAGCCATGCATGTAATAACAGAAATCCAATTGCAAAAACCAAAATGGATAGAACTAAGAACAAAATAGGCAAACCCATGAATATAGGTTTATATTTTAAATATATATTATATTTATTTTAGAGTAAAAGGGAGGGGGGCAGAGAGAAACATCAATGATGAGAGAGAATCATTGATTGGCTGCCTTCTGAACGCCCTCTACTGGGGAGGGAGCCCACAAGCCAGGCAGGTGCCCTTGGCTAGAATTGAACCTGGGACCCTTTAACCTCCAGGCCCATGCTCTATCCATTGAGCCAAACCAGCCAGGGCTATAGGTCTATATTTTAACATAACTTCCTCATTACCAGAACAAGTGTAGGGTAAAAAAAGATACAGAATTTGAATACAACTATCAACATTCACAGAACCCTACATCCAACAACGGCTGCACTCATGTACTTTTCAAATGCACAAGGGACCACTGACCAGGATAGATCATATGCTGGAACATGAAACAAGTCTCAAAAATTTCAAAAACTAAATGTATATTCTCTGACTATAATGGAATTAAAATCAATATCTAAAAGATATTTAAAAGAGTTATAAATATTGAGAAATTAAGCAACATACTTCTAAATAACATATGGCTCAAAAAATTACCTGGGAAATTTTAAAACATTTTAAAATGATATTGAAAACACAACATATTAAAATACATGGGATTCAGCTAAGGCCATGTTAGAGGAAAATTTATAACTTTAAATGCTTAGATTAGAAAAAAAAAAAAAAAACTAAAAAAAAACAATATTTAAAATCAATGACATCATTCTACCACATAAAGCAAGAAAATAAACAGAAAATTAAATACAAAGTGAGTAGAAGGAAGGAAATAAGAGGTAAGAGCAGAAATAATAGAGAGGATCATGAACAAATGGTAGCTAATCACTGCCAGTTTTTCTACTTGTGGAATTTGTGCTTTCTGTTCATGCAAACGTTAGCACTGTCCGATCACCTTTATTTTGAAGAGAATAAACCAGAGGATATTTTAACTGAACTTGAAGATGTTACTACCACCTGGTTCTTTGAGGTCTTTACATCAATGGATCAACCAACAGTTCAATATTGGTAGGAGTAACCGTCACTGGTTACTATGAGAGTAGGGGTTATTGTTATAGGTAAGCAAGGGACATAAACCTGGGGATTCCTTGAGGCATCTCTTGGAGCTTCCATGCCTACTGACAACAGTAAACACTCAACTACAGCAAACATGACCTGACAAGGTCAAAGCAGATCTCTCAGGCGGAGCCTGGGCTGCCCCCTGAGGGTGAAGAAATCTAGGTCAGCCAAAGTGCCGCCTGAAGACGAGGAGGATCAAGGTTGGGCTGATGGATATCAAATAGAGCCTCGTGACCCGCAGTGTTTGGAGCTTGTTCCACCAACCATTTTGCATTAAGTCTTTGTGGAGTTCTGGCTGGCTACCGTTGTGAAGGGACTTTGATATATATGTGACTTAGAAGTAACTGAGAACATGAACATCTTTGAGTGGTGGAAGGGGTCAACTGTCAATGGGCATCACTCATGCTACTCTATTTCCTCAGCATCATCGCTCCCTCAGGCCACACGTGCAGAGACCAGTTCCCATAAAGTGTGGGTCTGTTTTATGCGGAGCCTTGCTTCAGGCCCATCCTGCATTCCTGTCTCTTGCCCTGGGCTTCTCTGACGGGATGGCATGGCACCGCCACAGACACTCCTGGGGCACTCAGGCAAGTATACCCTGAGAGAGGGGGCGATCATGTTTGTGGGGCCAGCTTTGAACAATGGCAACAGGAGTCCCTTCAGAAGGCCCTATGTTATGGATCCCCCAAAGTGGTGATCAATTTACTAAAAACACATTGTTTTATTGACTTTTCACCCTTCTCTGTTTTACTTGATCCGCCCGTCAGCGCTGCTCCCCGGGATCGCCTCCCAAGTGACTGCCTTCACTCAAGTCTTTGTCTCAGCCTCTGCTCAGAGAAAACCCGTCTAGGACACGGATCTTCCTAACAGAGAACGCGTTTCCTCTGGCCACCCAGAGCTACATGCATCCTTAATTTTCTTTAGAAACCATTCTGTGAAACTAGAGGAGAGTGTGCTTGGCTTGGGCAACACCACTTGGGAGAATTCAAGCTGGCAGATTCCCAGAAGACCTTCTTCCTAGCTAATTTCACTGCTAACAGCCCCATTTTTGCCACTTATTCTTTTTCTTTTAGGACTTTGAATTAACACACCTAGTTTCTTTAAACAAACAAGGGAAGCAAAAATCTAGCTAATCTTCCCACATTAACCCTGCTGGTAAATTTCCAGAGTTTAGTAAATAACCCGTGTATTACCCCTTATCCTTCAGTTGTTGTCATTTATTTTCTTTGCTATTTACAGAGTCGTGAAACCTTGTTTTCTTTCCTTTAAATGCAAAAGACTATTTTCTTTGGCACAGCCCCAGAGTACTGCAATGGTTAAATTTGCTGCTGTGTGAAAAAGTCGAATTTGTTTAGAAGTTACGCAAAAGGCCAAGGCCATGAGAGCAGACGGCCTGGATTATAAGAAGTAACCTCCAGGAAGCTCAGGTTATTTTATTTCCTGTCCTTTGTGCCAGCATGCTGGTTTTTCCCGGGCCAATAGTAATTTGAAGTAAGGTCGAGATTTATTCTACTTGGAATTTCATAGGATATCAGGCACATAGCTTTCTTACAAACAATTTCTTACACTTACAAAACCAGGAGGAGAAACATTGAGGAGAAAATGACATTTTGCTCAGGGTTCTACATGACAAATGGCTCTTGACAAGCTTCTTGGTCAATCTTGGGAGAGTAGTCTCTCCAACAAAGAAAATGAATTGACTGCATACATACACATCCATCATACTTGAAGACAGTGTAAAAAATAAGTAAAATAAAAAAATAAACGTCAAAGGAATACAGCTATGCTCCCAACTGATCCCTAAAGAGAAAGGAAAATAGAAAGCCTAAAATCAGGAGGCTCAGGAGTGGATGTGAGGACCGATATAGAGACACTGTAAACAAAAGGTTCCTTCTCAACATTCAATGATGAGTGACAGCTATGCTTTTGAAATGCCAAAGGTTAAGAAATACAAAGTTCTCAAACTGGAAAGGTCAAAAGATCATGTACATTGACCTTGGGTTGGAGGTTGAGGTTCAGAAAAGGGTGAGGGGTAGAATTTGCCCCAATTTTAGCTATCAAGATTAGGAACTTTCCTGAGTATTATAAATAACCTGTACGAACACGTCTGAACATGGAATTACACAAATAGATGAGTTTCCTCGTCTATTTGAATCTTATGAGAATTAAGAAAAACAACTGAAAAGTCAAAAGCAGTTACAACAGAATTGAAATTGGTGGTATTCTCTTGAAGAGTTCTCATTGAACTTGACTTCCAAAAGAAGCACTGTTATTCTGATGCTATCAGCATGGGTTCCTGCCTTTTAGATTTCTTATTTCACCACACAATAACCCACTGGCAATTAAAAATTAAAAATAAAATCATTATTTTTAAAAGTAAAGTTGGTTCATTAAGTTAAACAGCTATTTAATGCAATAACAAACTCAATTGAACTATTTCCCAATATATTAAAAAATACCTGCCTGTTTAAATGGACGTTTCATTTCTTAGCTAGAAGTATAGGCATCAAATACAGAGGCAAAGCCAGAGCAGAATCAACTGATGATCACTTTTTGGCAAATATAAAGGTTTCATTCTTCCACTTTAGTTCACCAAAAGAATGTCAATATTTTCTGTCTCGGCTTGTTTCCTTCTGCTTTAACTTATTTTCTTGGATTGCACAGAATATTTCTCTAGTCTTTTATGTATTCTTCTCCCCCTATATTCTTTCATTTTATTGTTTTTTTCTCTGTTTTACATTTTCAGTGTTTAGAAAAACAAAAAGGAAAAGCCACAGAGCTTACCATTTCCACCAAGGATAAATATAAGAACATCCCCGCAGTAACTGTCAGGATCCAATTCTGAACAGAAGGATCAGTTGATACTGAGAGGCCAACATACAGTCCAAGGAAGGCAGTCAGAGCACTTACAAAATTCATCAGGATGGCAATTTTAATAGGAAGCCCAGAGCTTAGGAGCACAGCAAAGTCTCCTAAATTTTAAGGAAAAAAATGTATAAATATTGATTCACAGATGATGCCTTTGGCAAAGTAACGTGCTATTAGGTTGTTTCAAGTGTCAGCAACTGGGATCAATTTTATAAGTTAAGCTGAATGATCAGTGAAGAAGACATTTTCCTATATCTCTCCAGGATTCATAGCTAACACATTATGCAATTAGGAAGTTACATTTTAAGAGTTTTATTCCTTTTACTGGTCCCAAAGATAGTGTAGCAAGAACTGTGACATACTCCTTAGTTTCTAATGTCCATTTTCCTGTGGCATTTTCAGCTCAGATAAATGCAAAATAAAGCAAAGGGAAGGAACTCTTGCCTTCTGCAACAGCATGGATGGACCTGGAGGTTATAATGCTAAGCAAAATAAGCCAGCAGAGAGAGAGAGAAATACCATATGATCTCACTTATATGTGGAATCTAATGAACAAAATAAACTGACAAAATAGAAACAGAGGCATGGACATAGGGAACAGAATGACAGCTGTCAAAGGGGAAGTGGGTGGATCAGAGAGGATTAAAAAAGGTGAAGAGAATAGCCAAAGGGGAAAAACAAACAAACAAAAAATATATATATATATATATATATATATATTTAAAAAATAAAGCTCTTGCTGGCCCAAGGTTTCTAAATCTTTTTGCTTGGAAACTTGCCAAGCAAAATCACAAGGTAGTAAACATGATGTGGGCTTTCATTGTTTATTTATGTCAGAACTGCTATGGGAAAAGAGAAAGCCACTTAATAGGAGATTTTAAAATCATTGCCCAAGTTGATCAGGAAAACAAATTTTTTATTTGGAAAATGTTTGAAAGCCTTGATGATTTGAAAAACTTCGCATTCTCTCTTTTCCTCCAAGAGAAGAATGCCCTATTGATCTGAGAGCCTCTATGTCTTCGTTTTCCTGCGTTTTCAGGATAGAGACGAGGCTGGAATTCAATAAAGACAGCCAGGGGACTGAGTTTCCTAGCTCCATTGTATAATTGGTCCAATGTAGAATTGGTCTTAAAACATCTTTGCTGGCCTGTCACCCACTGCCACTCCCCCCTGTGGTTTTATTAGGGCAAGTTAAAGCAGGACCACAGAATAAGGCACTCAGATCAGGCACATTCCAATGGACTCAGGAAGGGCATAAGCTGCTTCAAGAGGCTTGGGTCAATGCTGAGTTGACAAGAGGTCTTCAAACAATTGACATGAAGCACAGCGAATAGGGTTGGCCCAAGGGGGGCATGGAGGAGTCCTCTCTCTAAGGTACATGTGTGCCTGGAGCCAGTCTCCCCTCTCTCTGGGTCTGTCTCATTATGTATATTCTATCTCATCTTGGTCCCTGGGAAGCAGGATTTGAATTTCAGGGCTATTAAGATTATCCAGAAAAAGAGTCTTATGCACATCTGTTACCATACGCCTGTCATATCAATTTTACAGTTGGCTTTAGATGTCTTGTATAAATCCGGTTGATGAAACCATGGTTTGGCTTTCATTTAAATATTTTGTCTCATTGGCCTGCCTGTTTGTGGACGTAATGGGTAAAGTTCCCCACTTGATGTTTTTCCCACAGTTACTATGCGGGTTTTAAAGTTCTTTAAAAGGAAGTTTCTCTGAATGACTTTCTCCCCTATACAATTCCCCAGAATCCAGAGTCGCTTCTGGCTCTGGGAAATATAGGATTTTTTTTTCTAGTTATTTTCTGCTTTTTAAATAAATTATTTTTTTTTTAAAAAAAGAAAAATTATTTTAAAGAAGAAAAATATTCATCTTTCCATCATATTTTATAAAAGGAAGCCTAGGGAACCACAGCTATAAATCTGTTAGGAAGTTCTCAACAAGCCGGAAGCAGTGTTAGGCTCACCCATTTCATGTGGAATTTCATGACACAAGATAGCAATGGTCGTGGTTATCCCAGACTCTGATGAGGACGAGAAGGCCGCTCCTATCACCAGGCCATCTGCAAAATTATGCAGGCAGTCTCCCACCAGGATCATTATTGCCAACGAGCTCATGGATTGGCCTAAAATATCCAATAAAGGTGTGAGAAGCATTAAAATTGCGTTATGTTATATTTCATGGAATCCATCAAACACAGCTAACTTTCCCATCCACCTGTGACATTCTTTGCATCAGATTGAGTAACCCCATTTTGTTTCAGTTTTTGAAATAGGACAGGATTGATTATGCAAATATGCTAACCGATATACTGTCACTTTTTTAAATGGCTCTATTTTTTAATGAGGTAAGTTGTGCATTAGCACTCTCTATTCTATCACCTTGTCCAGCTGTGCCAAAATTAAAATATTTCCCCCCAAAATACCAACAATGACCTTGCCATGTGTGTCCTTTGTAGAGCGTTTTAAGATAATTTAAGAACCTCCCTGCAGAATGTCATTAAAATGAAGTGTTTTTCCAAAACTGCCTCCTCTGAGTCAGACTGCCCATAGTGGCAACAGGCAGGAGTGCACTTTCTGCCTAGCTGTTTTCCTGTCCGGTGGTTAATCACCTTGACAAAGTGCCTCATCCACTAGCCTTGGTGACCTCAACAGAACCACTTCCAACTCTGCTAACCCCACAGTTGGCTCTGGAACAATCACTTAATTTTCTTACCTTTCTGAAAATAACTGTAAATGCAAGGCCAGCTAGACGTTGAACAAAACACGGAGAAGCTGTTTTCATGGGACTCTATTGCATAATGTGCATGATCCGATTGGTGAAGAGTCAGTGAACTAATTTAGATTATAATGGGTTTAGTTATGAAATAATTTGGATCATAACTGGGTTCAAGTTTTTAACACACCTAAGAACCTAAGAACGTATGTCAGTATAACAATTGATGGAGTTGCAAAAGGTATTTCAGAGATAACAGTCTGACAGTAAATAACCAACCATGGACATGTAACAAGCCACAAGACAAGTTACATTTTGCTATACCATTTGCTGAGAAAAGCCATCACAATCAAGTGTCTCAGTCTAAAACTTCATTAATTATCACTTGTGTGAGTAGTAGCCGCTGTTGCTTTTAGAAGTGAACACAGCATTCTAATAAGTGTAGACTCAATAAAAATAGGAAGAGGGTGCCTCTTGATTTCTGTTACATGGTCTAAGACCCCAGAGGGACTCTGTTATGGTATGGTTTGCTCTTTTTGGGGGGAGGATATAACCTGACTCATTTCATGCCCACATAGGGAACAGAAGATATAGCCCAGACTGTAAGCCAGGAGATAACTGTTCTGATTGTGTTGCAAAGTTTTCCCATGCATTTTGTTCCTAACAATCATGCTTTACTTAGAACTATCACTGTGAGACTGACTTATATCCTCCTTGTAGTTTACTAATTCATTTTATTTTTTATTAAAAATGAGAAGAATCCAGGCAATAATCATAAAAACACAGACTACTAGTACATCTCCAATTATTGAATTCTGGGAGTTCTTGCTGGCTTTGTCTGGAAGCTCTCAGAATCTAATAGTGCTTACCAGGTCCTTAGCTATTCCTGCTACTTTTCAGAAATAAAGCTCTTCTTTGTGAAACTATAATAAAATGAAATAATTTAAAATAATACATTGGACAACATTGCAGCATGCAAATAAGTTGCAATTTCCACAGGCCTACATGTAGGTAGTATTGCTAATAATAGTATATGTTCAAAGTGGAAAATTTTTACCCAGTTTATATTCTACTAAGAAGCAGTGTGGCTTGTTTTTGTTTTCTGTTATTTTATTATCTCTGATTATAGGTATCTAAATAACAAACCATGGACATGTAACAAGCCACAAGACAAGTTACATTTTTGCATGTAAGCCACAGGAATATGTTGGCACATTAAGATAACTGAAACATTATTCAGCAGAAGGCAAACTAAGTATTTACTGGTGATTTAATGTACTCATTACAGAATTATCAATAATATTGACCTTTCCTCATGTACCTGGCAGTCATATTGAGTTCTATGTTTCTGATTTACCAGAGATTTTTCCATGGTGGAACATGGACTGGACCTTGTATCACTTTGCTTTCTGTTTATTTAAATCAAACTGTGGGTAGGATTTTCACATCCTGTCTTTTGAAACACAAGCTGAACTCCACCAGTGAGATAATATGAAATAAGTAATCAAATATTGAAGCTAATTTAATATGGCCCTGGCAAAAGGGCAGTTGAGTAATTGAATTTGGGTTTTTTTCACTATTCATTCTGTATGTCAGGCTTTATATCTGAGGTGGACAGATATGAGGCCTATAAAATACTTGAATAGGGCCACTGTTACTCCCTGACCTAGCATCTGCTCTTTGCTTCCTTCTTGCCTCTTGCTTCCTTTCAAAAACAAAAACAAAGAAATGACTATTGTCAGGTATTCTAAAATATCTCCTGGAACTGAAGATTTAAAAGGAAAAAACTTACCAACAATGTCCTGAAAGCAAAATTGGACACATTCTGTAATTATATATTTTGAATCAAATAAATAAATTACAGGAATTAATATACCTAACACATTTAGAATGGTGGTCCATCGCAATATAAACTGCAAATTAGAAATAAAGACCGTTCTTATTTCAATTATCTCATGCATCAGTGCCTGAAACATGGCATGTTTTTAAATGAAAATGTAAGAAGACACATGGACACATGCACAATAAATGATCACAGAGAAGTTGTTGGTACATTAGCATTTCCTTAGTGTCTCAATGCTGGAGCTTACTAGCTATGAAACCATGGGCACTGACTTATCCTCTCTAGCAATTGGCTGCTTCACTTGCATAATTTGGATAAAAATTATTCTTATTTTATTAAATGTAGGAGAGATAAATGAGATAACCCATGTCTGGTTTTTAGCACTGTGCTTGGCATATAATAATTGTTCAGTAAATGGCAACTATTTTTATTATTTGAAAATTAACTTATTATAGTAGAATGGGAATAACTAATCATTCATCTTATTTAGCATTCATCATGTTTAACATTAAAACACTAAGAAGAGTGTGTCACCAAAAGTTAACATAAATGAGAAAAAATGGGGCAAATATTCAGGAGCTAATAAGAACAAAAACAGACCAAAAATTTCTAATTATTCATAAACATAAGCAAAAATAAATAAATTGCTATCCAAAATTGGTAAATTAGATTCAAAAAATGATTGGTTGAAAATTACACCAACAAATAACTTATAGAATAAGATGTGAATATTGAAGTATCTCTGATTTGAACTCCACCAGCTTAAATGACAATGTCACAAATGAGATAGGCATTTATGATCAATTTTCAGTAGACAGTGATAGAAGACAAAAAAAAAAAAAAACAACGCCAATTATGCCTTCAAACTTCACAGGAAGTGAAAAGCTTAATCATCAGGTAACCATGATTTTAAAGGAGCTCTGATAACCACATATGTAGTTAAACTAATTGAAGTTTTTAGAAGATCAGTGTTTTTTTTTGTTTGTTTTTTTTACAGAGAGGAAGGGAGAAAAATAGAGAGCTAGAAACATGGATGAGAGAGAAACATCAACCAGCTGCCTCCTGCACACCCCCTACTGGGGATGTGACCTCAACCAATGTACTTGCCCTTGACTGGAATCAAACCTGGGTCCTTTCAGTCTGCAGGCTGAGGCTCTATCCACTGAGTCAAATCGGTTTTGCCAGAAGATCAGTTTTAAGCAATTGGAGGAAACAGCATTTTTTTTAAAAGAATGGAGTAAAGTTGATATTAATGTTTGGTATGTTTTACAGACTGATGGAAATAAGTCTATTAAAAATTATATTGAAAAATTTTTAATAATGAAATACATAACCAATATGAAATTTTTGACATTTATTTTAAAGCAGACATAACCGTGATCTATGACATTTTCTACATTTAATGTTTAGCTTTTATGAACTAGTACCCACATTTTCTTTCTTTCTTTTTTGCATATATTAGCAGTTTGTGTATTATGGAGTAGTTTTCTTGCCCCGTCCCTTATTGTTTATTTTTCCCCATTACCATTTATCTCCCCTATGCCCTCTTCCAGCTCCACCTACCCCTCTTCCCCACAACCACCACACTCCTGTCTGTGTCCAGAAGTTCTTTCTTTCGTCTTTTCTTTCAGTACTCACATTTTCTGTTGGAGGCTGTCAAACTGCCTATAGGAATCTCAGCTGCCTGGGAATCCTCTGGGCCTTTCTATTTTAAACAAACAAACAAAAATGGTAAGTAACAGTCATCTTTTTATTGAAAAAAAAAAAAGAAACATATGAAGAGTTTTGTCAATTTTTGAAAGATAGTTGAATACTCTAGAACAATGTTTCCCAAAGTGTGGTACGCGTACCCCCAGGGCTACGGGAAGAGTTTGGTGGGGGGTACGCGTTGCACCCGAGTTTGGTGGGGTTATGCACTGCACCGAGCTTAGCTGCACCTAATTCTACGTTCTCATGAGTACGAGGGGTACTCGGCGTTACGAAAATTATATTAGGGGTACACATATGTCAAAAGTTTGGGAAACGCTGCTCTAGAGTGTTTAGAACTTCCAAAATTCATAGAGGACCCAGAAGGAATGGCCGGAACCTGCATGCATTTGCAGCATCTGCCTGTAGGTGACAGCAGCCCTCACGGAGATCAGAGCCTCCCCTCCCGGGAGTGCCAGAAGCTGCCCAGACCGTCTGTCACTCAGGCTCCTGATGATGGAGCCTCCATGAAACCAAAAGTTGTCAAAAAGAGACTCTTAATTCTTGGCCTGATTTAGCTCTTCTCCTGATTGTAGATCTAAAATCCATCTTTTGAGCTTTAAGCAGAATGTGTATTATGGGGGGAGAAGTAACCCATGCCAACACATACTTCATTTCATTCACCATGCCATAATATTCTGATTTTCTTGCTTTATCAGTCAGTAAAAAATCTTGCAGATTAAGAAGGAATATTAACAGAATGAGAAAAGACAAATATAATCTTTTTTTTAAGTTTCCTCATCCTTTGATATGATGGGAAAGTGAGATTTCAAAATTGAAATCTATGAGTTAGGATTGCATGATTTTATTTCTGAGACTGGCTAGTGGTTCAGTTCCTGAAAAGTCACTTTTCCTCCCTACACCTCAGATTTTTATTTTAATACTAGTGGCCCAGTGCATGAACTCTGTGCACATTAAAAGGAAATTAATTAGGGGAAATATTTTAATATTGTTATTTGCCCTTTCTCTATAATGGAAGTGTCAGAATTGAAAGAAAATTAGTAAAATGTATAAGAAAATCTCCCTCCTGTCAGAGCCTGAGGGATGCTGTGGGACCCAGAGTCAAGCTTCCACCCACCCTCGTGTGCCTCGAAATCGCACGAGACCCAGACTTGGCTGATCCCACCCCCTTCAAGCTCCACAGGGTGGAGGGACACAGCCTCAGCCCCCCCACCCCTCCAGGCCTGGGACAAGGGCATGAGGGCACAAGGGTGCGAGGGCATGATGACCATTTGCATATTTGCTCTTTATTATATAGGATATGAAAAGAATAATTTCTACCTGCTTTTAAATATCTTATTTGGAAAGCACGTTATATAATTTCATCATTGAAAATTGTGGAGAATTTGAGACAAATTTAATGTGTGACATAAGCATCTTTTTTTAAAATGTAAAGCAAGAAGTAAACTTAGAGTTCACATGTTAAATAATAGCATGTATTCAAAACATACAATGATAGGCAGTTTCTTAGAAAAGGATGCTGAGAAGAAGACCTGAAGGATACGGGTTTAAAGGAGGTAGACAGGCCTGTTGCCTGAAACTGGTGAGTCTAGAATGACACCCCCCCCCCCAAAAAAAAAGCATTTGTTTTTTTACATTACATTAAGGCCTGATTATAATCAAAAGTCACTATGGTTCCATTAAAAGTCAGGAGTTCAAATATTTACTCCAGGATATTTTTTCTCCAAAAAAGCTATATGATGTCATACTCTGTAAAGGAATTTAAAAGCAAACATCCATAATTCCTTGTTGATTGGAAAGGACTGTAAGTTCCCTTCCTGCCTGAAAAACCAGAAACTGAACCAAACAGTTCTTGAAGTTCATAATATTTCTGTTTAGCTTTGATCTTGCAGCTTAAATAATAAAAGGAATGGTGAATATATTATTAATGAACAAGCATATTCAAATACAACCAAACTCATTAAGCTAGCCTGAGATTCTCTTATATACATCTTGCGGTTTTGGACCCTTCAATCAAATAGAATGATTTTAAAACTAGCCGAAACCGGTTTGGCTCGATGGACAGAATCGGCTTGGAGACTGAAGGGTCCTGGGTTTGATTCTGGTCAAGGTCATGTACCTTGGTTGCAGGCATATCCCCAGTAGGGGGTGTGCAAGAGGCAGCTGATCGATGACTCTCATTGATGTTTCTAACTCTGTATCTCTCTCCCTTCCTCTCTGTACAAAATAAATAAAATATATTTAAAAAAAAAAAAACTTATCTCAGCCTGAAGTTACCTTCTTTCCAACCACATGTGAAATTAAACACAATAGGGCTTTAAAAATTACTATAAAGGAATTTTTGTGTTCCTACCTTTGAATTAGCTCTAGTGCAGCAATCTACTGCTCGACTTCTGTTTTGCTGTGTTACTGTCTCAGGAATAGCTTATCTCTACTCTGTTAGGAATCTATCCTTGAACTGTGAACCCCTCCATATGAATTCTCAAATCACATCCAGTCAGGTTCAGAACAGTATTCCCATTCTAATTCTCAAAGTACAAGTAAAGGAATAAGCAACATATGAAAGTAATATGTAACAGACAGAAAACTCGCCCCTTATTCCCCCATGTTTTCTGTCTGTTACATATTACTTTCATATGTTGCTTGTTCTTTACTTGTACTTTGAGAATTAGAATGGGAATACTGTTCTGAACCTGACTGGATGTTGTGTTTTGAGAATTCATATGGACCATTTTGTCATGGAAAATGCAATGCCACAGAAAGCACTAAATGAGACATCTCATTGGGCAGACAGACATCTGCATTGCAAAATGAACACCCCACTCGGAGATGCACTAATTCCTTGTTTAACACTCATTTACATCCACCTAGCCAAGGCTAAGGGTGACTCAGAATGGAAAACTAAGTAAAGGTCAACTGAATCATTAAGTTTATGAAAACTTGTCAACCAAATCATTAAGTTGCTGTATATTATATCAATCTAATCCATACTTGTTTCAAATTGGTAGAGATAGCAAAGATTTGAATCTATGGAACATGTTTTTTACACTTTAAAACAGCTTTCAGGTGCTTGGCAAAGTTTTCCAAATTATTCATTATGGTCAAGAATATAGGTAAGTCAAGAGTGGATTCTATATATGCCCTACTGATTTTTAATTTAGTAATCAAGGAATAACAGGAAAAAGGTCATCAAACTAGTAAAACAATTCAGATCAGTAACCTACCAACTGGATAGTTGAAGCGGACTTGCCTCTGCCTGACTGGTCGCTGACTTCGGAGTTGAGTGCAGGATGGTGGGAATGTCCCACATGCCCATTAACCAATGACACGCTCTGCTGGATAAGGATGGTTTGACATTAGTTCTGAGGGTGAAAGAATGCATGTGCAGCCTTTGTCAATTCCATGGTTATGTTTAACATTTGCTTTTTGGCCAAAATGGTGGGTGACACAAAAAGAATGATGGTAAAATCTCACTGTGACAAATACTTGCTAAAATCCCTCACCTTGGAGAAGCACAGGATTGCTTCGTGCATATTCAGAATGCTTTAAGAATGCAGTTTCAAGAATTTTAAAAGACTCAAACAGGGGTGGCTTTTATAATGTCATTTTTATTTACTACAAAATTACATTTTGATTTTTTTTCTGATAGAGATACCAAAAGGATGATAAGTGAAACTGTATTATACCCTAAAACTATTAAATAAAAATCTCCAGATTTTAGAAGCACTTGTAGCTTCTAAAACATGTGCATTTTTTTTATTTTACACAATATCATGAATCTTAAAATAATGTTTTTAAAACTTATTTTAAGTTTCCTGAAAGATACAAGGGCAATTTGAATAAATGCTATATTTTATTTCACTCCTTTTCATCCTGGTTAAATGTTCATTATTGCACATGGGTTGATTTGTTGGCTTAGCAATTTAGTTTTCCCAGCCCAGGGATGCTAATATATCCTATCTAATAAAAGATTAATATGCAAATTGACCATCACTCCAACACACAAGATGGCTGCCCTCATGTGGTCAAAGATCCTGCCCCTATGTGGACACAAGACGGCCACCACAATATGGCCATCAGGGGAGGGCAATTTGGAGGAACCAGGCCTGCAAGGGAGGGCAGATAGGGGCAATCAGGCCAGCAGGGGAGGACAATTAAGGGTGATCAGGTCTACAAAGGAGGGTAGTTGGGGGTGACCAGGCCTGCAGGGGAGAACAGTTGGGGGGACCCAGGCCTGCAGGGGAGGGCAGTTAGGGACAAACAGGCTGGCAAGGGAGAGTAGTTAGGGGAGACCAGGCCAGCAGGGGAGGGAAATTAGGGGCAACCAGGCCGGCAGGGGAGACAAATAAGGATGATCAGGTTGTCAGGGGAGGGCAGTTATGGGCAATTGGGCTAAGAGGGGAGCAGCTAGGCATCGATCAGGCTGGCAGGGGAGTGACTAGGGGGTGATCAGGCTGGCAGACAGAAGTGGTTAGGGACAATCAGGCAGGCAGGCAAGCGAGCGGTTGGGAGCCAGCAGTCCTGGATTGTGAGAGGGATGCCCATTTAAGTGGGATCAGGCCTAAATGGGCAGTCAGACATCCCTCAAGAGGTCCAGATTGGAGAGGGTGCAGGCTGGGCTGAGGGACACACATCCCCATGCATGAATTGTGTGCACCAGGCCTCTAGTTGTGTATAAGTTGAGATCTAGTATCATTTTTTTTTCACGTTTATTAAGATTAGAGCCCCTTTTGTGGAAATTAATGTCTCAAACTTCTTTAGGAGGAGATGTGACAGAAGCTTGAATTGTCAATCTTAAATCACATCCTATTTTGGGCTGTAGGCCAAAAAACAAACCTGCTTCATTTACATCGGAATTGTTTTTCAGGATTCTGTTGAGAATCTATTTATTATAAAAACTTTTAAATATACAGAAAAATGGAAAGAACTATAATGTGCACACTTACATCTACTTCCTGGTCCTGTTGTTGACATTTTGCTATTCCTATTTTTATCACACATCTAGCCACCTAGCAACCTTCTACCCATCTACAGAACCATCTTTCTTTGATACATAAAGTAGAATTTTTTAATACACTTAGGAATGATAATAAAGAAGTAGTGATATTTTAAAAGTCTACTAAAGTTTGGCCTGAGTGCAGTCAGGGTTAAGAAAAATCCATAGATGACTGCAGAGCATCAGGACTTTGTTAAAACAAAAAAAACAAAAAAAAACAAACAAACAAACAAAAAAAAAACTTGCTTTATTTTAATCCCCTGGAGTCTTTCAAAAGTATTTACCACTTAACCATCCACGAAACAGTACAACTATTTTCTTATTGGTGCAAAAAAACAAAATCATAAATTAACCACACTGTGTTTTATATCTCATCATATATGTAGAAATTAATCAAATACAAGCCCAAATGAAAGCAATGATTCAAGCTAAAATTAAAAAAAAAAAAAGAATTTCTTACAAATATTATTTCTGTGCTCCTTGTTTTGAATACTTTTATATGTCCTTAAGATAAAAAAAATAATGGGTAATTTTCTGACTTTTCAAAATTTTTGTTTGCTTGTTTGGTTTTTATTAGAAAAGTCCTTCAAAACATTGATTGGTAGCTAAACCTCTGGGTCCCTTCATTCTCAGACATGAAATAGCCCCCTGTTTCTAACCTAGCCATGAAGGTCAGGTTGCAGCTACAGATCACCAGGCCAGCTACAGATGATTCAAAGATTAGTAACTGAGTTTACAGGGAAGTCAGAATGACCTGTGCATGCTGGAAATCAGAGCCTCATCACTTACACAGACATCTTCATGGAAACGTCAATCACTTTTGAACAAGTACAACAAAAGATGGATATTATGAAGCCCAAAAGCAAACTATATATCAGATTTAAACTGTACCTTGACATTTGGTGATACAAGGAGAATAAAACATTTTTCTATCAAGAAAAATCCATGGATGCCTCCAATTAGTCCCAACAGTTTCCAAATGTGACCTTTGCTTTCATGGAAATGCCCAGACTCTGTGGCTTCCTGCTTATGTAAATCAAGAACCTAAAACAGTAAAAATTAAAATAAGAGAGAGAGAGAGACATAAAAAAAATAATGTTCTATGATTTAAATATTAATTTGTAGGTCCAGTATTGAATATATTCAACTTTCATTCTGGGCAACTCATGACAACTCCTGAAATAATTCGAAGCCCAGCTTGCTTTTAGATGTATAAACACTTCCACCGCAGGATTTAATTCCTGTCAAATAAAATGTGTACAAGAGGAAAGAAGGGAGAGCTGTGAGTAATTCCTGCTTATGAACACAATAAAGTCTAAGCTTATTTCAGCAAGTGGCCTAAATTTTCATATATTCTTAGTCCTTTAGCTGAATTGTTTTCCAAGGGTTCAAAAATATCTGCATAGCAATACCTTATAGCAAGTCACTGTATTATATATATATCCAGAACAAGTCACTCTATTATATATATCCAGAACAAATGCAAAGGTACATTTCATCTGGCCTTCATTTTCCCCATGCCCCATTGCAATTAAAGATTACTTTTAATAATTGTTCAGAGAAGTAAAAAATTGGCCTGAAAGACATTTTCTGTTAAAGGCATACTATATGCTCAGCAACACTGTCAGCAACATGGGACACAAAAGGACACAAGAAAAGCATTAGGAATTTTCCTCCAGCTGGCTCATCCCATTGGTTGACTCATTCTATTGGTTAACCTCATAATTTCTTATGAGCTAGTAATCATTATGTATCATATTCCTTCCCCAGGAGATGGCAATTTAAGAAATAGCTCAGTGGGTTTCCGCATTTAGGGTGTTACTGACCATTAAAAAGAGGAAAACAAATTACATCTGCACACATTTTATATGTATATATTCATATGTATATGTATCTATTAGATATTTGTGTGTGCAAACATATATTTACAAGAGCATGAATGAGCATGTACATTGAGTTACAAAACCAACATATGTTGGTCAACTTTTTCTTTTGGTAAAGACATTAAAGGATGTCCACCTAATATTTGTAATTACCATTATTTCATAATACAGGGAATACTGTAATATTACAGAACAGGAAAGAAACAATCCTGGAAAAAAACGAACATCTGTAAGTGGAATAAATTTAGCTAAATAGCATTTTTGGGGGTCATTTCTCTGCAGCCCTTTGAACCCTTGTCATTCAGGGACCTCATGGATTTTTCTAGCTTTCCACCACCCTTGTAACTGCATCTTCCTCTTCCCAATAACTTTTGTCCTCATATGGCTTCTCGAATAAAACTGCCTTCCAGATTCCATGAAACCCAGCTCATCTTTTCAGTTCCCCGTGTGCCTTGTCTTGCAGAGCCAATCTGCAGGCACACCCACCCCAATCCACCCCTGCTGCCTGGAGCGATGTCACCCCGACCTGGGGAGGAGGCCTTTAAATCCTTTTGCCGTTTCCCCTGGATCCTGGGAGGGAACAACTCTGCAGTCACGGCGGTGACCTAGAAAAAAGGCCTCGGCCACCACGTCAGGCCAAGAAGCCCTGAAATATCCCCAGAAAATCAGATTACAGGGGGAAATTAAAACTAATAATGGTTTGTTTCATTTCTCCAATGCTCACTTGGCAATTTTCAGAACATCTCATAATTATTGAGCCTCTGAGCAACAAGAGTGACCCTGTAGGGAAGTGCCAGAGGCGTGTGGAAAATTTTAGCATCTCAGACTTCCTGAGAGGATGGAGCATTTGTTCATCACAAGAGATTACAGAGGAAAGATACGCCCTCATCTGAAGACCCTGCTGCCTGAGCTGGTTTGCATCTCAGGTCCTAGTCTTTCATTTCTAACGAATAAAGAGCCTTAAAAGCCTTCAAAAGAGAGCCAACTTCCTGGTGCTTGCATTTTCCTTAAGGGAGATCTGTATGTGCTCATTTGGGCATGAGGGTCCCAATGAAGCGAGGTTAATGATGCTACCATCACGAGGTCCAGGCAAAGCTGAGGGTGTGGACACAGGAGGATAAGACAACCAGAAACTTGTCTCGACCGGAAACCATCAGCACTTAGGGATGGAAAGGCAGAGGTTGGAAATAACGTTGATGAAGCTCAGTGGGAGGCAGGAGGCCTTGGTGGGAGCTGTGGGGCTGCAGCTTAAATGCTGCTGCTTCATGGGCCATTTTCAGCCTTTGTCCTCTCGTGGCACGTAAACTAATTACCATAATTCTGTGGCACAACAACAAAAATTTTTTCTGCTGATTTGACAAAAAATAGGTATAATTTTGATTCATTCACACCCAACAGCTATTGTATTGGTTGTTGTCGGTTTTTTAATTTGACAATCTAAGGGAAAAGAGGTCAGTATCTCTGACTAAATATTGCATTTTTTAAAATTGCAATTTAAGAGGAGATCCAAGATGGCTGCGCCCAGGTAAACACCTAGCCGCAACCACACACAACAATTTCAATAAAATACAACTAAAATATAAAATGGACATTACCCAGAACTACAGGAAAGTCGACTGACTAGAAATTCTACAATGAGAAGCAAGGAGAAAACCAGAAGGAAGCGCGGAGGAGCTGGAAAAGCCTGAGGTATGGAGACACGCGGCGCGCGCGGAGAGGACAGAGCTGGAGAGGAGGGCAGCTGAGTGCCTGGCTGGTGTTCCCTAGGGGGAAGGAGATAAAACTCCGACTGTGTTGGGCCCCAGTTCCAACTGCTCTGAACCCCAATTCTAAGCCAGACCCTGGGGACCCAGGCTCATCCATAGGGAGCTGGGCTGAGAGGCGGAACCCCGGGGGAGCGGCGAAAGGAGGTCCCGGCGGCGTGCACATTGCGCACAGAGAAGGGACAGTAGGCTGTGCCACGGAATTGCCCTGGTGGGAAGGAGACTGGGGCTCCAGACTGCTCTGAACGCCACCTCCAACTCCACTTCCAACTGATCTGAACCCCAATACCGGGCTCATTGGGGGAGAGCATAGACTGTTTGGCAGCAGGCGAAAATAGAGGGCACCTTTCTCTCAGAGGCGCTTTGCAGTGAGTACTGAAGGACCCTGAGACACAGGAGCCGCACAGGGCGGGGCTGACGGAAGCCAAGGCTGTAGGCTCCACCCTGAAACCCCATCCCATCTGTAGCTGCGAAATGCAACAACGAAATAGATCACAAACGAAAGAAATGGAGGACAAAAAGCGACTGGATATAGAGTTCAAATCTACGCTTATAAGGTTTTTCAAGAATTTCTTAGAAAAGATGGATAAGACCTATGAGGATATGAAAAGAGATCAACTAGAATTAATAAGGAATCAACAAGAAATGATAAGGGATGAACAATAAATAAAGAATACATTGTCTGAAATAAAAAATATTATACAGAGTCCTAAAAACAGAATGGAAGATCGCAAGAATCAAGTCAAAGATTTGGAACATAAAGAGCCAGAAGACACTCCTCCGCAGAAGCTAGAAGGCAAGAGAATCCAGAAAATTGAAGATAATGTAAGAAACCTCTGGGACAACTTCAAGCGAACCAACATCAGAATTATGGGGGTCCCAGAAGATGAAAGAGAGCGAGATATCGAAAACGTACTGAAAGAAATAGTGACAGAAAACTTCCCCCACCTGGTGAAAGAATTAGACTTACAAGTCCAGGAAGCGCACAGAACTCCAAACAAAAGGAATCCAAAGAGGATCACACCAAGACACATCATAATTAAAATTCCAAGAGCAAAAGACAAAGAGAGAATATTAAAAGCAGCAAGAGCAAAGAAGGTAGTTACCTATAAAGGAGCACCTATACTATTGTCAGCTGACTTCTCAACAGAAACCATGCAGGCCAGACGGAAATAGCAAGAAATATTCAAGGTGATGAATAGTAAGAACCTACAGCCAAAGATAATCTATCCAGCAAAGCTATCACTCAGAATGGAGGGTCAGATAAAGAGCTTCACTAATAAAAAAAAAAAAAGCTAAAGGAGTTCATCACCACCAAACCAAAATTATATGAATTGCTGAAGGGGGTTCTTTCAGAAGAGAAAGTAAATAAAGATAAAAATTATGAACAACAAATACGTAACTATCAACAAGTGAATCTAAAAACCAAGGAAATTAAAAAAAAACCTGATGAACAATATTAACTGTTGAATATAATATAATCAGAGGTATGGAAGGGGAGTGAACTGATGATTCTTGGGGAAAAGGGGAGAGGGGGATGTGGGAAGAGACTGAACATAAACTGTGCACCTATGGATGAGGACAATGGGGAGTGGGGAAAGGGCAGAGGGTGGGGTGGGAACCTGGTGGAGGAGTGCAATGGTGGGGGGGGGGGGAAGGAACATTTGTAATAATATGAACAATAAAAACTTATTTAAAATAAATAAATAAATAAATAAAATTGCAATTTAAATGGCAATGGCACATGGATTGAAAATCGATGTTCTAGAGCAAGAACCAGAGCCAGGAGGGGGCAGGAAGAAATATCCCTGCCACTCATTCCTCCTCCCCACACTTTTCCGTTGTGCCTCACACTGGCTGACCACAACAGCAGTAACAGCCTGCCAGGGGCCTGAGGAGATGCAATCCTACCCGCACAGCAGACAGCAGAGAAGGGCAGAGATGAAACTGATGACTGGAGAAAAGCCAGTGCAATGCTTACAGCCCATTCGTGTCTATTTACTGGTAATTAGTAAATGCTTTCTGATTTTTTCTTAGTAGGAATTTACATCTGGTCACCATTTTTTTTTATTGTTATTTCAAAAATAAGCATAATGTGGTGAACATAATTGCCCATCTCTTTTTTCCTACAGGTTTTTTGCAGGAAAAAAAAAATATTCATTTCCATGGAAAACACTGGCCACTATGTCTACTCATCCAAGTTGCTGTGAAAGTTTGCATAAGTACCTTCAAAAGCTAACCATGAGGAGAGATTGGACCTCCTCTATCTGGCATGGGGGAGGAGAGGAAACAAACACAGCTTACCTGAGGGATAAGGTGGAACAGAGCATCCCCAGAGAGTGTCCCAACAGCCAGGCCCACAAACAGCTGTAGAATGAGCCTGTAGTTCTCCCCACAGCTGTGGAAAAGGATCAGCGCTGTCCCGAGCATGGAGCCCAGCGTGAGCAGGCTCACCGCCACTGTGCTGTAGCCATATTCTAAGTGGGAAGGAGAATGCAAAACAGTCAGTGCTCACACCCTCTGCTAGTGCCTCAGATGGTGAAAGCTGTCTTTCTAGATAGTCTATACGGGGCTACGAAATTGTTTTGTGTGTTATACTGGGTAAAATGTTTTCATTTTAAATGATGAAGATTTTTTCACCAAATAACCCTATTCCTTTAAAGTTACTTCAATGACCTCTTATTAAAAACTCACTGTGGGCCCGGGCTGGTGTGCTCAGTGTGTGAGTGTCCATCTATGCACCAGGAGGTCATGGTTTGATTCCTGGTCAGGGCACATGTCCAGATTTGGATCTCGACCCTCAGTAGGGAGCATGCACCAGGAGGCAGCCAATCGATGTTTCTCTCATCCATGTTTCTCTTCCTCTCACTTGCTCTTTCTCTAAAATCACTAAAAACACTTTTTTTTAAAAATCACGGTGGCAAGCAAGGACCTATCTTACCTCCCACTCCCGAGATATTAATTCCTCTCACTTGAAACTACCACCTCCATGTGGTGGTAACGATGCCCATCTAATCACACTTAAACCTTTCGAAGGCAAGGCAGCAGCGCTACAATGAGAGCATGCTGTTTGGGCCCAGGGAGACCTGTGTTTGTATACAAAATGAGTACTTTCTTCCAGAGGTTCTCAAAACTATTTGTAATGTTAAAAGTGTTTGTTATTCTCAATGACTAAAATTAGTGACTGTGCTGGTAAAAACTGATCAATGAATGTATAGGGGTTGGTAATAAATTTGGACAACCGACATTTTGAATTATTGCAATGATATTTTGTAACCTCCAAATTTATTCCACATTTCTAGCTTCTAGATTTTTTTAAAAATATTCAAAAAGTACAATTTTTAAATTATTTTAACAAAAACAAATGTGTATGAGGGGAGAAGGAAAGAGGAGGAAAGAAAGAGTAAGATTAATAGAGAGAAAAATGGCTTTCAGAGTCATATATAAATGATTTGGAGAAAAAGTGTTATACAAGCCGCCATTTCCCTTTGGTTACAAATACTCTGCTTTCTACGTATTTAAACGTTATTAGTAAGTCATGGAAAATTTGTTTATAAACAATATAGGAAGGTAATTACAAAAACTGTCATTCACCTTTATTGACTACATACAAATAAATGATAAGTTAAGTCAAACAATGTAGTTATCATATTCTTTAAAGTCCAGTATAGATTTTAGGAAACTATCATCTTAAAGTTAGCTATTACATAAAATAGCCTATTTTCATTATTCTTGTACTGTTCTGGAACATCAGATCATATTAATGATTCTAGCTGATAACATGGTAATAGGCTTGTGATTTTTTAAGATGATCTTTACTGAACTGTAAGTTCTAATTATAATTATGACTCTTATTGATTTTAAGTTCTAAATTATTTAGGAGTGTAGTATTAAAATAGAGTTGGTGGTATATTCAGAGAAGGCAAAAAAACACTTTAAACTTGATTTTCTCACTCTCATCACCATTCTTCCTCTGCTAGGAATCTACTATAAAGTGATTGTTATTCAATGGATATAGAGTCTCAGAAGATTAAAAAAAATTAGAAATCTATTGCACAACAACGTGAAAATACTTAATATTCTGACCTGTAGATACACTTAAGAATAATTAAGATGATAAATTCCATGTGTGTGTGTTTTAAACACAATTAAAGTTTTAAAAATGATAAAAATGGTTTGGAATGATCATACACCTAGAAGTTTTATTCTGTTCTAATTTAGTAAGAATACCTAGGTTATTTTAAAAAATCCCTAGAGACATTTAACCAAGTTTCATATCCCATTCTTCCACAAATAGATTCTATGTGGGAATGTCAGTCTTCTCATGCAAAACATAAAAACTTTTGAAGTTTAATATTGGAACCTGGGTGCCTAATAAAGTTCCAAGTTACCACGTTTTTAGGGTAGCTACAAAAGATCATAAATGGCAAGAACTCACAAAAACAAATTAGGGTCTGACATTTCTGAGGTAAACAGTTTCAAGTTCTGCAATCCTTCTCCCCTCACCATCACCTTTGTCCTGAGGGCAGCTACCATGAGGCATTGGAAGAGGATGAACATTTCCTAGCTTTAAAGCTTATAGATGTTTTTATGTCCTCTGCAAGTCACATTTCACCTGCTCCCATACAGAGGGCATTCTGAAAACCATAAATCTCTGGCTTTTGTGGCCATCGGACTCTGCTAACTAACTCACCCCAGTTCCCTTGGCATTGAATCGGAGGTAGGTGACTTACCGACAATGCTATGTAAATGTTTCTCATCATTACAATAGAACTTAACATAGCAAGATGATTTGACTTTGGTGCTGGGCACACAATGCAACATACAGATAATGGTGTATGTTGAGTCTTAGAAATGCACACTTGAAACCTATATGATTCTATTAACAAATGTCACTCCAATAAATTTGATTTTAAAAAAGAGTAGAATAGCCCTGCCAGGGTGGCTCAGTGATTGAGCATTGACCTATGAACCAAGAAGTCACAGGTTCAATTCCCAGTCAGAGCACATATCGGGTTGTGGCTCAATCCCCAGAAGGCAGCCGTTTGGTGATTATCACTGATGTTTCTATCTTTCTCCTTTCCTCTCTAAAATTAACAAAAATATATTTTAAAAAGAACGTAATAATGAAATTCTTAGCCATTCCCGAGAAGCTACTTTGCATATGTCTGAAATTTGAATTGTACGTGGTAATAGCGCTTTTTCCTGGAAACCGAATTGGAGGTGGTGCTTAGGGATTGAGTTTCACCACACAGAACATTGTTTTCTCAATAACATCTTCCTGTGACCTCCCCTCTTCATCTTGTATTTCTGTAATTTCAGAAGGTCAATACAAACCTTGCCCTTTTGTTACATAATGCAACATTTTAAATTGAGGACACTAATGTTCTCTAGTGAGTGTGATTTGTTTGAATTTTTCTTAGGAAGATTATTCCGTAGAAGGGCCTAGAAGGCCATTAGAAAGATAAAAACTTTTCCATGCATCTTCAGTGCGTAAACCCATTCCCCAGTGGCCCGTGTGCACCAAACACTGTGACAAGAGGTGGGACACAGACATTTTCGCGGAAGCTCTAGGTGCCATCGTTGGTCTGCCTCCTCGTTTTTAAGTCATCATTGACCACAAGGCACTGAATTATTTAGCTGCTCACTTTTAATAAAGCTTTCTCCCTTTCGGTAAATGTGGAGTTTTAGCTACTTAGGCTTAGCATGTTTTTGTTCACCTAAAATCTTTAAATGAGTCTCTTAATGCTGCAGAATCAGCTGGAAGTTAGAAGTGAGTAGTCAAACAATTCAGTTTTTATGGGCACTGCAGACTATCGCAAAGAAAAAGAAAGGTAACTGGAAAAAACACACACACATATATAGGACCCTCAAGTCAATGGTAATATTTTAAAGTCGCATGTGTTAACTGTCAATTTTTCCTATCCATCATGGATGTTCGTAGGCAACCTTTATTTTTTCTCTTAAATACAGAGTGCTTTAAATCACAAAACGCAGTTTTGTACACATTGCCTCCTTTGAACTGCACAGGTACCTTTTAACCTTACAGTAGGGCTCTCTTTCTGCTCTGATCCAATGGGATTCAGGTGAGTGCAGCCAGGTCCGGGAGGCTGGTACCTGCCTGCACTGTCACCACCATGCCAGAGCAGCCTCTCTGGTTTACCCCAGTGTGCCTTCATTTTTTATTTTTATTTATTTATTTATTTATTTTGCATGTGCCATAATGTGTGAAGGATGGGAAGCCCTGTGAGACACCACTGCTATCCCACCGGGCAGAAAAAGAGATGGGCTCCGGGAAATAAGGAGATTGCCCAAGGTCACAGAGCTGGCTGGGGATAGAAGCCATGACTCTACTCTGCATTTCTGATTCCAACATCACATGTGTTCCCTCTCTCACACCATGCCACCTCTCAGCTATGTACTTCCAAGTTGGTCTAAAACTTAAGTCCCACAGAGGGGACCAAATCAACTTACGTAAACTGTATATAAGATTTAAATATCCATTGAAAGGTAGCATAGCCAGTGGTTAAAAACAATGACTCAGGGGCGGTAAAGGCCTGGGGCGGGGGACAGGGGCAGGCTAGAAAAGGTCAATGGGTGGGAGGCGGGGGAGGGAGACATAGGTAATATTTTAAACAATAAGATTTTTTTTTAATAAAAGTAAACAATAACTCTGGGACCAGGTTGCCTGGGTTTGAATCCCTTACCAGCGGTGTGTCCTTCACCTCCATGTGCCTTGGTTTCCTCCTCTGTAAAATGGGGGTAATTACCTCGCTCTCAGGGATGTTGTGAGGATGACATGAGTTGGTAAATGTAAAATGCTTAGGACAGGGCCTGGTTTACGGTTATTATTACACACATTGTGTAATAATACACAGTAATAATAAAGGGTGCATCCACTTTCTGAGGGAAGAATCAGATCTTACTCTCCAGAGTGGTAGGCGGGAGGTTTGCTTGCTGGTCCTTGGGCAACTGGCAAGAGCAGCTGAGCAATTGTTGGATGATCCCTGGACTCATTCGCTTAAAGTCCTCCTTAGAAATAGGCGAGAGGCTGTTCTGTAAAAATATCTCCGCAAGTTGCCCTGCAGAGAAGCAAGTCTGTGTGGGAAAAACATACGTTGTTACTAACCTCAGTATGCAAACTCACCATCAATTGCCAGGCTAGCTAAAACAGACACAAGAAGCTGTAGCATTGAGCATTTACATGTCAGCTGGTTGACACAGCATTTGTCAACTGACATCTCTTCTCCACAGACACTATTGAAATCACTGTTTTTTGTCTACTGATACTTACCTAAATCTTTGCAATTTTTATGTTGTATAGGCATATTTATAAGAGATGAGGATTATCAATAAGCAGGTCTCTAAAAAATGCCACAAGGTATTTGTCTATCTCAAAAGTATTAAGGGTTGAGAAGTATCAAAAAATTACATTAAAAAGTTTTAATATGTGGGTGAGGGTGGTGCACAGTTCCATTGGTGCATTGAAATAAGACTCCATCACGAGACCTTTGTGATCTTTAGCTACAATCAGACAGGTGTGTGTGTGTGTGTGTGTGTTTTAATCAGTAGTTTAAAAGACTTGTCTCTTCAGAGCCCATTATCTTCTCCCTTCTGTTCCCCTCTGCCTATATCTATTATTTTTCAGTCTGTCCTTTTCTCTTACAGAAAACACCTGGACATATAAACCCCAACTCTGAAGCGAACTTTCAGTCCCAAAATCCAAGACTGAGTTGGTTCTGCAAGTCCTGACAGAGACCTGATGGCTTCAGCAGAGCCACAGATGGGCCCTCTCAGGTCGGACCCCCATCCAGTTCAATCAGTTTTGCCCACGAGACAGGAAGTAGGGTCATGCTGCTTTACCATGGCTGCCAGCCTCGTTCCTGTGGCAGAGGGAGGTGTCTCCCAGCAAGCAACTGGGCAAGAACTCCAAAAGGGATCTGCTACAAGAAGCAATATCAGAAAACAAAACTTGTGATTTTTTTTTCCTTATAAAAAAATTTTTTTTAATCACCACAGACTATTCTCTTTTGTATCATTTGTTACTAATGGGATATAATTATTTCATTAAAAGTACTGACAACCAATAGAGAAACTAGCAAGAAACTTTTGGTAATGAACCCCCATAATAAATATTCTTATTGGAGAATGTCTAACTGGTAAGTAAAAGAGTGGAGAGGAAAACATGAACAGAATGCCATGCATCTTTTCCCCAGTTCATTGCCAAGAAATTGAATATTCTATTGTAAGCTCCTGTGCCCTTGATCTTTGTTTGCTGTTTTTGCGCTATTTAGATCATTGTTTTACATTTCTTCTTAAATAACTTTATATATATATATATATATATATATATATATATATATATATATATTTAATTAAATAAAATATAATAGGAAGGATCCTCAGATCTAGTCTCCTATCTTAGGGTCCACATCCAGAGGCACAAGGAAGGTGATATGTTATGGCAGAGGAGAAATGTAGAAGTTGTTTTGTTTATTTTGCCTAGTTAGCACAAAAAATTATTATTGTTGTTATTAGAAAATGCATGTCTTAAGTAATTTTTATAAAATAACCTTAGTCCCTAGTCAGTTTGGCTCTGTGCATAGAGCATTGGCCTGGGAAAAAAGGGTCCTGGGTTTGATTTCCGTCAGGGTACGTACCCAGGACACACGCAGGAGGCAACCAATTGATATGCTTCTCTCACATCGATATTTCTCTCTGACTTTCCTTCTACTCTCTCTAAAAATCAATGGGAAAATATCCTCAGGTGAGGATTTAAAAGAAATAATAACCTTAGCCCTGGAAACTTTTAAAGAGACTTCACAAACAAGGATTAATATAAGCATTAACTCTTGTCACCTTCAGTTGACATAATAAGCACTGAAGGAGTCTGTTTAAATAGATACCTTTTAAGATAAAAGTAAAAAAGACTCAGAAATTTATTTTTTAAAAGTGTATAACAGTAAAACTACGTGATGCTGCCCAATCATGTATTCGTCACTTATGGGAACAGCATTCAGCAATGTTAGGAATACGTGAGGAATTGTACTCCTTTAAAATACAGATTGTGCTCAATAAGAATATCTGAGATACAAATAACAAAACCAATTTTTATTTATTTAAATCAACGTTTCCTAAACAATAGCATAGTTGTGAAGGGCACTGAATATGCTATCAGGCAACCTATGTAAAAATCCTCAGTTCCTGTGAATTTAAGCAATTACTTATTAGCTCCATGCCTCCATTTCTCATTTGTAAGACATATTAATATAACCTAGCCTCTTATAGTTATAACAAGTAGCCCTGTGCACAAATCCATGTGCCAGTAGCTCTCTGCAGGGTTTGGCCACTTCGTGCCCATTGCCCAGAGGCTCTCTGCGGTTGGGCACGATGCTTGCCTCATCACTGTGATGACAAAGCAAGCATTCTGCCAGGCCACTCAGTGGTCGCGCTCCCTCCTATTCTCCCCCACCACCCCGCAGATCTGGGGGACTCCAGTGGAGCTGAGGGAACTGTGTGCTGCCATCTTGGTGATGGAGTGATGGTTACTTTGCATATTACTCTTTTATTAGATAGGATAATTAAATGAGGCAATATAGGTGAAATAGCGTCTAATACATAGTAAGTACTCAATATATGTAAGCTATTACCATAGAACGTCAAATTTTTCTATTTTAAATGATTAGGGCAGGGGAGGATTCCATGGTCAAAGTTTGAGAAATGCTAGATTAAATAAGAATAAAGGAGTTTATTTACTAAAGGACTTCCTAAAACAGTGCAATGTGTTACCTCCAGTATTTCCCAAGCTCATTTGACCATAGCACCCATTTTTAAGAAGCATCACAGTACACTAGTGAATGTATTTTGGAATACAACTTTAAGAAATATGGATATGTTTATAAGAGTATATATCACCTTTTCTCAAAAGCCATTTCAGTGCTACCTATTATACAAATATTTCTCTGTTGCTCACAGCCCAAAGTAATGTATTTATATTCTAATCTAAATTAATCTAACCTAAGTTTAAAGTGTTTATCCACTAGTATTGTAAGTGTTTGTGTAATGTCTCTATCCTCCCACTACCCTGTATGCCTGCAAGCTCCATTGGAGCTGTGCTTGTTTTTGTTCAATTCCATATCCCTAATGCCCTCAATAGTGATTGGCACATAGTAAAGGCTTAACTTAATTATTCATTCATTCAACATAGACCCAAGGGAGGAAAGAGTAATATTAGTATATCTTATCCTCTTAAATATCTTGGTCTCATGTTTATGTTTGCAGAGAACCACTTATAGTAGGGGGGGAAATGATCATTCTGTGGAAAAAAATATTCTTACATTTAAGAAAAATACATATTATCCTTTAACTTTTCTACAACTCTTATGCCACTTTCAGAGCTGGGATTTCTTTGACAGTGGCAAATGGAGATATAAGAGGAATAATGACAATACCTGATCCCAGGAAACTGGACTGTCCAACGGCTCTTGGTTCGTGGACACAGATAGATTAGGGAAACTCCCATCATGAATTGTTACATTGTTTTTATTCCTTTGAAGCTGATGGACTTGGTCTTTTCTATTACAGGTACCTTTGGTCCATAGAGTGTTGAGAAGTTGGTCTAGTTCTAGAAATTTTATAAAAAGTCAGTGTCACATAGAATAAAGACAGGTCAATTTCAGAACCAACACAATTTCACATGACCACAGTATTGATATTTTATTATGTTCTAATGATATTTTATTATGTTCTAATGAAAAAAAAAGATTTTATTTTGAACAATAATAAATAACATTTGTACTTCACATGGATATTAGTTCCTGCACAAGATCTTGGCTAAGCTTTGGGGCATATATATATGGTGGGAACATCTTCGTAAGTTTGAAGTTTGGTTTGAACAAAAGTTACAAAGATGTTCCATATATATATGTATATGTGTATATATATATATATATATATATATATATATATATATATATATAGTGGAAACATCTTCGTAAATTTGAAGATATATATCTTGGAAAAGATTAAATAAGCAATTCCACCAATGGAGTGCCTTCCATTAGGCCAACTAATTCTTTTTATAGGTGTTCCCTATAAAAATGTAAATAAAAGATGAAACTGGTCCAATCCTTAGAAAATTTATTCCCCTGAGACACTACATAACTTTAAGTTGATTAAAAACTTTAATGTACTTAAATTAAATTATTTTTCTCTTAAGTGTTCATGCAGAAAAGAGAAAGGAAATGAAAAAATGTTGAGGTTGTAGAGACAAACTAGAACTTCTTTGCTAATACTATTGTGGTATGGTTGCTAGTTCATAGATTATAGTTAAGTTTCCCTTGGTACAGCCATTGGCTTCTACAAATTGATACAGAGAATAATTACATATAATGGTGAAATTCTTTGAATTTATCCATATTTTTACTTGTAAATAAAATATCTCTTGTATATTCCTAAGTGTTGCCATCACTGGTAGAAAAAAACTTCAAACTAATGTTACTACAATATTTTATTTTAAACAACCAGTTTTCCACAAAAAAATCATGAGGCTTGAGAAGAAATGGGAAAGTGTGATGCAGCATCAGGAGGGGAAATGTTAATAATAAGTCTCTGAGTAATCCTAGATAGTAAACTTAGCAAAGATTCAAAGCATCTATTATAAGTATGTTAGAAGAACTAAAGAATTAAATAAAATTATGACAACAATAAATCAGCAAATTTCAATAAGGAGATAAAAATCATGTGAAAGTTCAAATGAAAATTTGGAGTTAGAGAATACAATAATTGAAATGAAAAATTCACTGGAGTAGCTCACAGCATATTTGAGATTGTAGAAGAAAGAATCATTGAACATGAAGACAAATAATAGAAATAATTCAATCTGAAGAAGAGAGGGGGAAAAGAGATTTTTAAAGAAAAAGTCTAGCCCTGGCTTTTGTAACTCAGTGGTTAGTGCATTGGCCCATGCACCAAGGGTCTTGGGTTCTAGTTCTAGTAAAGGGCACATAGCTGGGTTGCAAATTTGATCCTTGGCCCTAGTCCAGGCACAAGTAGGAGGCAACCAATAGATGTGTCTCTCACACATCAATGTGTCTCTCTCTCCCTCTTCCTCTTTCCCTCTCTCCCTCCCACTCTAAAATTCAACTAAAATAATAACCTCAGATGAAGATTAACAACAAAAAAATGAAGAAGTCTTAAATACTGTGGACAACAATGAGTAGAGAGATAGAAAATAGGTAGATAGATAGATAGATAGATAGATAGATAGATAGATAGATAGATAGATAGATAGGTAAGAGGGAAGGAGGGAGGGGGGGAGGGAGGGAGGGAGGGAGAGAGAGAGAGAGAGAGAAAGAGAGAGAGAGAGAGAAAGAAAGAAAGAAAGAAAGAAAGAAAGAAAGAAAAAGAAAGAAACAAAGAAACAAAGAAAGAAACAAAGAAAGGAAGGAAGGAAGAAAGAAAGACAGACAGAAAGAAGAGGAAGAAGGAAGAGGAAGAAAAAAGAGAAAGAAAGAAAAATAAGTAGAAAAAATATTGGAGGAAATAATGACTAAAACCTTTCCAAATCTGATGTAAAGCCTTCATTTACAAGTTCAAAGGTTTCATCCGATATCAAGTAGGATAATAACAAAATGACACACACACATTATAGTTGAACTGTTTAAGGGCAAAGATAAAGATAAATCTTAAAAATGGTAAGAAACAAAAAAATGACCCATCACATAAGAGGGGACATCAGTACAATTAGTACCTGGTTTCCCATCCAAACAATGGAGTCCAAAATGTATGGACTCATATGCAGAGTGCTGGAAGAAAAAATAATCTCAATAAAAAAAATGTATATCCAGAAAAGCTATACTTCAAAACAGAAGGTGAAATAAAATCATCCCCAGGCAAACAATTAATGGGAAAATTTGTTGATAGCAGATCTGCCTTACAATAAATTCTAAATGAATTAATAAACACTACTAGGTGAAAAGAAATGATTCCAAATGGAAATCTGAGTCCATAGAAAGAAATGAGCGCTACCGAAAATGTGAATATATGGGTTAATATAAGACTCTTAATTTTTTTTTCTCCTTTGTTCTCTGAGCTCAATGAGAAAATAATACAGAATTTGTTTTTTAAGTCAGAAGCATGGTAAAAATTCAGAGCATCTCCAGTGTTATTTACCATTATATTGGTATTATTAACCTAATTAGATGAGAAATCAAACAGAGACACAATAATTAAACAAGAGGAGGCAAATTTTTATTTATTTGGAGATATTATGATTTCATATCTGAAAACCCTAAAAATGCAAAAATTAAATAAAATATTTAATCATGGAATAGATTATAAACTTAATCTACAAAAATCAATAAATGTTATGTATATAAAGAAAAACCAGTGAGAAGATAAAAATGAAAGAGAAGACCGTATTAAAGGGAGCCAAAGAGAAAGTTAAATACCTAGGTATAAATGTAAAAGGAAAGGTCTAAAACCTACATGAGGAAAATAATAAAACACTCCACAATAACACACATGTAGAGATGGATAAATGGAAAGACATACTATGTTCTTGGATAAAAAAGATGCAACATCTATCAGTATGGCTCAGTGGTTGAGCGTTGATCTATGAACCAGGACCTGGTCACAGTTCAATTCCTAGTCAGGGCATATGACCAGATTCCTGACTTGATCCTCAGTCGGGGGCATGCAAGAGGCAGCCAATCAATGATCCTTTCTCTTCATTGATCTTTCTTCCTCTCCCTCTCCCTTCCTCTCTGAAATCAATTTTTAAAAATATATTTAAAAAAAAAGAGGCAACATCTTATAAATGTCATTTCTATCTAAGTTATTTTATAATTTTTTTCTATCATAAGCTTTTTCTCCCACAACTTGAGAGTTTAATGATGTTGGTTAGGAAAAACAAACAAGCTAGGAATACCCAAAAGAAGGGCAATGAAGACAGCTAGCTCCAACATACGTTAAAATAAATATAAAGCCACTATAAGGATCTATTGCCACATGAATAAAGTGGAGCAATAGAACAAAATATGAAACAGAAATGTACCTGATTGCATTTATTATTACATTATATAAAAGTGGCATCTCAAATCAGTGGAGGAAATAATTTTCATTTCATGTAGAAAATAAGGGGTATAAAGAAAATTAAGTAGTCACCTAACAAAAGTAATCTGCATCTATTCCTAACAACATACAGCAGAATTCATCCAAAATGAATCATAAATGAAAACATACAAGTATTAGAAGAAAATAAGGGTGAGTTTTTCTATTGTCTGGGAATGTGGGGAACTTTCTTAACTATCTCTCAACATTCAAAAGAAAAAAAAAGTTTGATTAATTTGTTTATAGGAAAATAAAAATATATTTAGAAAAACAAGTGATTCTAGGTCTAGGCAAATTTGCCAGATAAAATGGAATATTTTATAATAGGACACAAAAAAGTTATAAAATGTTTTAAGGGTATTTTTTTAAAGGACATAAGAGTGAACTTGAATAAGTTTCCACTAGTCAAAGAGGGAACAATGTGAACAATCTATATATCCTATATAATCCTATATTAAAGAGGTAATATGCCAACAGACCATCACAGCCTCACATAAGATGGCTACCCCCATGTGGTCAGAGATGGCCTCCACAAGATGGCCAATGGGGAGGGCAGTTAGGGGCGATTAGGCCAGTAGGGGAGGACAGTTGGGAGAACCAGGCCTGCAGGGGAGGACAGTTGGGGGCAACCAGGCTTGAAGGGGAGAGCAGTTGTGAGGGACCAGGCCTGCAAGGGAGGGCAGTTAGGGGTGACCAGGCCAGCAGCAAAGGGCAGTTGATGGGGGACCAGGCCTGCAGGAGAGGGCAGTTGGGAAAGATCAGGCTGGCAGGGGAGCATTTAGGCATTGATCAGGCTGGCAGGGGAGTGGTTAGGGGCTATAAGGTTGTCATGCAGAGTGGTTAGGGGCAATCAGGCAGACAAGCAGTCCTAGATTGTGAGAGGAATGTTTGACTACAGGTTTAGGCCTGATATAGGGGTCCCAGATTGGAGAGGGTGCAGGCTGGGCTGAGGGACAGTAGTCTTCATATATAATAAAAGCCTAAGTGACTGGCTGACTGGCCAGTAGCTATGATGCACACTGACCACCAGGGGGCAGAAGCTCAATGCAGGAGCTGCTGAACTGCAGTGAGCTGGCAGCTACGGTTCTCAGTTGATGCACCTGGAACAAAAGAGGAGGGAGCCTGATTCCGGAGTGTATCACCCAAGAACCACCCTCTCACAATCCAGGATCCCTTGGGAGATATCAGAGAGCCAGTTTTGGCCCAATCTCCACAGGCCAGGCTAGGCTGAGGGACCCCACCAGTGCACAAATCCATGCACTGGGCCTCTAGTTAGGGTAATAATGATAAGGATTAAGAAATATAAAATAATAATGATATAAAAGAATGTTCATTGTTCTCCTTTGAAGGATATAAGGAAACTATGCTATTATTTTGAACAGTGGTGAATTAAAGAATCAATTTATCCTTACTTTAAGAACCTCAATAAAATGAAGTTGTGATTAATGGAACTTTTTCCATTATATGATTACTAGAGGCCCAGTGTATGAATTCATGCATGGGTGGGGTCCAGCTGGCCTGCCCTGATGGGGGCTGATTGGGGGCAGGGCCAGTGGTGGACCATGGGAGGTTGGCTAGCCAGCCCACCCCCAATTGGGTTAGGGGTGCTGATCAGATTTGGGGGCCAGCCAGGGGGCGGGGCCATGGGCAGTTGGATTGGGCTGATCAGGGCCCCAGTTGGGTCTGTTGGCTACTGCTATGGAAGTCATAGCAACCAGTTATTCTGATTGTTCCAGTGTTCTGGTCACTTGGCTTTATATATATATATATATATATATATATATATATATATATATATATATATATATATATAGAGAGAGAGAGAGAGAGAGAGAGAGAGAGAGAGATACTAATCAATGAAGAAATAAAATAATTAAATCACTGTTTTATAAACCCTAAATAACTAATCAATCTAGGCAATGATCATCAATACCTTATAACTTATTTTAAAAAGAGACAACTAATGTTATGTACCTTCTGGTGGATAACATTGACTATAAGACAGTACCTCCAAATAAATACACAACCTAAAAATCAATCAAGCCTCTATATATAACAACCAATATATATGAACACAGTGCATATAAATATAAATTAAATAACTTGAAATTCAATCAGCAAAGCCCAGACTGGATAAACAAACCCTTTTTGTAACCAAAAATTCTGCAACAAAATAGTAAAAGTGTGGGTGGTATTGTAAAAGGGAAGGTATGACACTTAATAAGAAACTAAAGGGACATACACACAATTTCAATTTTATAGACCTTAAGTAGACCCTAATTTAATAAGAAATAAAACAAAACACCAAAAAAAAGTTTAAATTAGGAAAATGTCAACATTAATGGAAATTTTTACATAAAGAAATCATTAATGTGATATTGGTAGTAAGTTGATTATTTAAAGATTTCTTTTAGTATATATATAAATATTAAGTTTGATTATTTGCTTCAAAATAATCAAGTAATAAGAGAGTATGGAGGCAAATGTAAGAGTATGCAATTGGTGGTAATTATTGAGGCTAAATACTGTGCATATGTGAGTTCATTATATTATTGTTTCTACTTTTGCTTATATTTAAGAATCTCAATAATAAAAAATTAATAAACAACAATACTTAAAACTAGCATACTTATTTTCCTCCCAACCCAAAATATAATCAGTCGCAGTGGAGCTGTAGCTCAGAGGCAGCTGTTAAGAGAAAATGTTTCATGACTCCTGTAATGAGTATCTAATTGAACTGAGATAGAATGGGGCTCTGAAATGGAATTGGATTCTCAAATGCAAAAGTGGCTGATTTTTTGGAGTGGTGAATAAACAATACCATATATATATATGATGTATTATAAAGTTATACACCTGAAACATATGATTATATTAATTATATAGAAATATAATTATGTCACCCCAATAAATTCAATTTAAAGAAAACCTATTTGAAAAAAATAACAACAAAAATAGACATACAAGTCCAAAAAGCACAGACTCCCAAATAAGGTTAACCCATAGAGGCCCACACTAAGACACATTATAATTAAAATGCCAGAAGTTAAAGACAGAGATAATTTTAAAAGCAGCAAGAGAAAAGCATTAGTTATCTATGATGGAATTCCCATAATACTGTTAGGTGGGAAGGAAGTGGAAAGAAATATTCAAAGAGATAGAAAGCAAGAACCTACAAACAAGATTACTCTACTCAGCAAAATTATCATGTAGATCAAAAGGGTGTATAAAGGGCTTCCAAGAGAAGAAAAAGCTAAAGGAGTTTATCACCACCAAACCAGTATTACATATAATGTTAAAGGGTCTTCTTTAAGAAGAAGAAAGATCAGAAATATGAATAATAAAATGGCAATAGTTATCTATCAACAATTTTATCTAAAAAATATATACAAACAAGCAGAACAGAAACAGAGTCATGGATATAAAGAACATTTTGACAGTTGCCAGATGGGAGGGGGGTTAGGAAGATGGGTGATACTGAGTATCTCTTATGAGAAATTATTTAGATGTTTTAACCAGGATACGTGATGATTAATATTTAAACAACTGGCCTTAACCTTACAGCATAGCTTGCCTCTAACTGTATTTTGTATTATAATATGAGTCTCTTTCATTTTTTTTTTTTTTTTGGAGTGATCAAGCCCTCCAGTGGCATAGACTTTTCATTAAAGTACTTGAAAAGTGGAATCATTGCAAGCCTTCCCCTGAAATGGATATTTTATTGCTAAAATTTCTCAACTCCTGGTTTTCATATCAAAATTATTCTCAGGATAACATGCCTTTCCAAGTTTCTTTCCTACTTATGACAGCTAGGTAACATGGTTTTATTGTATTTCAACACAAAATATAAATAAGTTGTAGAAAAACACATTTGTTGCTGAAACAGGTTTGGCTCAGTGGATAAAACATTAGCCTGCAGACTGAAGGGTCCCAGGTTTGATTCTGGTCAAGGGCACGTATCTTGGTTGCTGGCACATCCTCAGTGGGGGATGTGCAGGAGGCAGCTGATCGATGTTTCTCTCTCATCGATGTTTCTAACTCTACCTGTCTCTCTTCCTCTCTGTAAAAAATCAATAAGATATTTTTTTTAAAAAAAGAAAAACACATCTGTCATTCAATTTGTTGTGCAAACATGTCTAGAGAAAGATCAACACTGAATTGTATGGCTACTAGTTCTTAATCCCTTCTTTCAAAGTTGGGAGATTTATACAGATCATGAGGATATTGTTGATCCCTTAGTAAATTCGTGTTTCCCTTTCCGTTGTGACTTCCTAAAAGGAAGTGCATTGGCAGCAGCATCAGCTATTATACAACACACCAGGACCCCTTGGTGTGCAAAGTTGGGCATTTTGATGCAGATTCAAAAATAAGTCCTTTCACTTTTAATGTCTTGTCAAGAACAAATAAATCTGAAAAACAGATATTCTGATTCTATTCCTGGCATCTTGGAGCCCCAAATATCTGGCAGTCATGGATGTAGCCAAAACAGATATTTTATATTACTTTATTTAAAATTAAAACGCTTACTTTTATGGTTACAAGTACACGGCTACCAATGCTTTTGCACCATTTGGCAGTCTACACAATATTTTGCCACCCCTGCCTCAGCACTATGTACTAAATAGGAAAGTGTTCAGTCACTGCCATGGCAGATCATTAAAACTCTCCCCTTGGCTCTATATTTATGATTTCATCACCCCTACTGAAGTGAGCTATGTCCATATTTTTGCTTCAGCATCACATAAATATTATCATAGTATGCTTGTTAAAAAGGTCATCTGAGCTGCCATACTACAAGCTATGTAAAATGTGCCTGGACAAATTTAGTCGCCGAAAACATCAGTTTTCTTTTGACACATTTTGTTTAGTAGGTGTGACTTGGAAGTTAAATTAATAAAATAAAATAAAAATCCTTACCCGATAGGTGAAGAGTATTTGTACTGTTCAAGGAACCAAAAATATATTCTGTAAAATAGTCTGGGGAAGGTAAGTTTCTTTGCCCCAGACATACACCTTGAAGAGATAAAGCAATGATTGTTGCCGCCAACTGAGGAAGCGTATTTTCATCAGCACCGTCACTGCTTAGTATTCCAGACTTTTTCTGCAGCATTTTGGTTTCCATACACTGAAATCAGATACCAAGTAAGATGAAAATGTTAACCTCCGAAGGCATTTTGATTGAAATGTCTCTGGGATTTCCCCAAGGACAAGGACTAGTTCTTCATCTAAAAGAGGATTAAATTATCTGTGGAAACATGGCTACCATTGTTTTCTAGTCTGAAATATACCTCTGTTTGGAAATACTTGCTTATCTAACATTTCTCATTACTCCTACAAAGATGTGTCTTCTCCATGATCTCTTGTTTTTACTATTTACATCCTTTCATTTGGTGGATTCTCTCCAGCTTCAAGTAGAGCCTGCAGTAATGACTTTCAAATCTCTGTTCCTGAGCTTGAATTCACACTGGTTCTGCTGCCTTGTATCATCACAGAGCACATCCCTTTTTATATTTGCCTTTAGTCTCAAGCTCAGTGTGTGCTGATCACAAATCAAAGATAGCAGAGTGTCTGGGTTCTTTGAACTACCATGGGACATAGGACATATGAAATAGGATCTTTTTCATGCATATAGCAATTTTCCTCATTTAAAATATGAGCTCCCAAAAGGCTTGAATTTTTTTACTTTGTATATCAATACCATTCCCATTTATTTATTTATTTTTAAAATATATTTTATTGATATTTTTACAGAGAGGAAGAGAGAGGGATAGAGAGTTAGAAACATCGAGGAGAGAGAATCATCGATCAGCCGCCTCCTGCACACCCCCCACTGGGGATGTGCCCCCAACCAAGGTACATGCCCTTGACCGGAATCCAACCCAGGACCTTCTAGTCCGCAAGCCGACTGAGCCAAACTGGTTTCGGCCCCATTCATTTATTTAAATATATATTTAGTGCCTACCATGTGACAGATACTATGTTGAATTCATTACATATACACTGTCTTTTTATTCTCCCAAAACTCCATCCAATTGATAATTCTTTTCACAGATTACCTAGCCAAGAAAGAATAGAGTCCCAATTTATACTTAGATCTGACTCCACAGCCCTTGTTCTTCAATACTCTTCCTCTTATATATGGAAACAGATTGATCCCTAGCCAGTTTGGCTCAGTGGTTAGAGTGTCAGCCTGCAGACTGAAGGGTCCTGGGTTCAATGCTGGTCCAGCGCACATATCTCGGTTGCAGGCTTAATCCCTGGCCCCAGTAAGGGCATGTGTGGGAAGCAACTAATTGATGTGTCTCAATCCAATGTCTCTGTCTCTCCCCCTCCCTTCCATTCTCTCTAAAAATCAATGGGGGAAAGAGGGGGGAAATCCTTGGATGAGGATTAACAGCAACAGAAAAGAAATAGATTGGAACCTAGAATGGTGATGGGACTTTTATATTATCAAAGGAAGTTCCATAGCATAAGGTTTGGGACAGACAGATAAGGTTTTACTACTATCTCTACTATTCTAACTAGATAAACTTGGACAAAATGATTATCCTTGTTAACCTTCCTATTCATTACCAGTAAAAATGGACAACTGGCACTCAACACAAAGATTATTAAAATGAGATGAAATAGTGCATGTAAAACACTTAATATAGTAGTTGGCATATAGGACACAGTGAGCTCATCTCAGCTAGTGTTATTGTTGTTCCCAGAATCAAGGAGTACATTTGATACTAGTTGGAGAAGGTGGCAAGATCCAGATCAAGAAATACCTTATGTGGATAGAGCATCAGCTTGTGGATTTGATTCCAGTCAAGGGCATGTACCTTGATTGTGGGCACATCCCCAGTAAGGGGTGTGCAGGAGGCAGCTGATCAATGTTTCTCTCTTATTGATGTTGCTAGTTCTCTATCCCTCTCCCTTCCTATCTGTAAAAAATCAATAAAATATATATTTTGTAAAAAAGAAATACCTAAACTTCAGTGCTCTGAAAATTTTTTTACTGAAGACTCCAGGGGAACCACTGAATGATATAAACAATAGAATAATACACTAAGGTATTTTCTGGAAATATTACTCTGGTGGCAAAATAATGAATAGATAGATAGGGGTAGAATTCAAAGGGCAGAAGACTAGTTAAGAAGTTATTGATTAATTCAAGATATTTTTTATCTTAAGATAGTAGAGTGAGAGATGAAAAAAGTAGATGCATTTGAGGAATATGAAGAAAGTAGACTAAAGCACTTAGAGGAAATAGGAAGGAGTGCAGTAAAATATGACTCATGTTTCTGGTTTTGACATCTATACACTGAGTGGCCAGATTATTATGATCTCTGAACACAAAATAATCTGGCCACTCAGTGTATATCGTATATAATAAAAGGCTAATATGTAAATTGTCCCCTAGACCAGGAGTTTGACCAGCAGGCAGGCCAGCCAACCACCCATGTCCCCTACCCCTGGGCAGGCTGGCCAGACCCCATCCATGCACAAATTCATGCACTGGGCCTCTAAATACACACACATACACACACACACACACACACACTCACTCACTCACACACACTGAGTAGCCATACTATTATGTGTTCAGAGATTATAATAATCTGGCCACTCAGTGTATAATGGTAATGCTATCCACTATCCCCCCACATTTTTCCTAAATACCCAATATAGGTCTGCTACTTTTCTAGGCACTGGAAATGCAATGGTGACCAAAACCAAAAGTATTTCTGCCCTGAAGCTTAAAAGTTAGTATAGCTAATAAAATAGTAATATAACCTATATATATATAAAAGCCAAGTGACTGGAACAATAGAACAACTGGTCGCTATGATACACACTGCAGTGGCCAATTGCCCTAATCAAGGATCAGATCAGCCACTCTCAACCTCCTGCTGCCTCTCCCACTGGCTGGCGTGGCCCCCAATCAGTCCCCTCAACACTGATCAGGGCCGTGGCCAGCTGTCCAATCTTCCACGGTCCCTCCCCCCTTCCAGCCAGACCCGACATGTGCACAAATTCATGCACCAGGCCTCTAGTCAAATATAAGATGACAACTATGGCAATAGCTTTAAAGGAGAGGCACATAGTAGTACAATGAAGGTAAAAACAGACGACTCTTCTACCCAGTCAGACAGGCCACGGAAGGCATCTTTGAGATTGTGACATGCAGACAGATCTGAAGGAGTACAAGAAAGTGGGACAGTGTGGACAAAGCTTCTGTAGCAGGATGGAGGATGGAAAACATAAAGGGCTAGAAGGATGGTAGTAGCTGGGCAGGTGGTGAGGGGGCATGGTAAAAGCTTAACACCTCTTGGCAGGTAATAGAGTTTGTCCCTTATCCTAAAATCAACAGGAAGCCAAAGGGGGGTTTTAGCAAGGAAGGGAATGGGGGTTACATAACTAGATTTGTATTTTGATAAATCTACTCTGGCTACATGGTGGGAAGTAAAAATATTGGAAAGAGACTCAAAGTAATCACTATTAATACAGTTAGAAGCTATTGCAATAGTCAGGTAGAAGATGATAGTGATTGTAATGGAGCAAAGTCAACAGGGTCAGGAGATCTTCAGGAGGTAACATCAGTAGGACTTGGAGTTGCATGAGACATGAAAGTAAAATAAATTTAGAAAACACAATTTTTAGTTGAGCAACTGACTGGATGGTGATGCCATTTGCTAACATATGGAGAAGGCCTATGTATGACCTTGATTTTGGATATGTTAAGTGCCTTTACAATATCATTCTTAAAAAGATGTTGTGTAAGATTACAGGGGTTTGAAATCCAGAGGGGAAAGGTCTGGAACGGAGATACACTCTTGTGAGTCATCTTTATGTACAGATGCCCTTGCCTAGAGAAAGCATATTGACAGGAGGCTAAGACGGGGCCTCCGGAGCACTAATGCGTAAAAGCTGCACAGAGAAATTGAACCTGCAAAGTGAGAATGGGCGCCAGAGACAGGGAGAAAGAAAACCAAGAGTATGAGTGTTATACGGGCCAAAGTAAAGAATGTTTCAAGAGCTACAAAAGTAACACCAAAGAAAGGACAGATTCAGGAATAAAAATAAGCCTTAGATTGTAATATTGAGTTTCAAGTGTCAGAAAGATATCCAAAGGGAAATTTCTCCCAGATTGGTGCATATATGAGTCTATGGCACAAAACAAAAATCTGGACCCCCAGCAGAATTGAAAGCAATCAGTATTTAGTTGTGTATGAGGCTGTGAGAGCATACCACTCAACAAGAGTATGCAGAGTAGCCGAAACCGGTTTGGCTCAGAGGTAGAGCATCGGTCTGCGGACTGAGGGGTCCCATGTTCGATTCTGGTCAAGGGCATGTATGTTGGTTGCGGGCACATCCCCAATGAGGGGTGTGCAGGAGGCAGGTGGTCGATGTTTCTCTCTCATCGTTTCTATAATAGCTCTCTATCTCTCTCCCTTCCTCTCTGTAAAAAAATCAATGAAATATATTTTTTTTAAATAGTATGCAGAGTGAGTAGAGGGAAAACTGAAAGTGGGGCCATGAGGACACCAAGATTTAAGGGATGGCAGATCAAGTGCATCCTTCAAAGCAGTGGTTTTCAACCTTTCTAATGCCGTGACCCTTTAATACAGTCCCTCATGTTGTGGTGACCCCAATCATAAAATTATTATATATAATTATTGGGCATAATATCTGTGTTTTCCAATGATCTTAGGCTCTACAGAAGCAGTTCTCAATCTGTGGCTCGACTCACAAGTTGAGAACCGCTAGCAGGATCACTTAAGACCATCAGAAAACACAGATATTTACATTACGATTCATAACAGTAGCAAAATTACAGTTATGAAGTAGCAACAAAAATAATTTTATGGTTGAGGGTCACCAAAACATGAGGAACTGTATTAAAGAGTCACGGCATTAGGAAGGTTGAGAACCACTGCTTCAGAGGAACTTGACACAGAATAGCTGGATTAGCAAGAAGGAAAGTAGGAGATATGGGTTGATTGAAATAGAAACAAACAAATTAACATGAAATATGGGATGATAGAAATCAATGAATGAAAGTAATTTTATGGATACTTTATTTTTCTGTGCAGAAGCTTTTTGGTTTGGTGTAGTTCCATTTATTTTTTTTTTCATTTGTTCTCTTTTCCTAGGAGATTTATCGGCTAAAACCCTGCTATCCAAGATGTCTGCAATTTTATTACCTATGTTTTCTTCTAGGATTTTTATGGTTTAATGACTTACATTTAAGTCTTTTCTCCATTTTGAGTTTATTCTTGTGCATGTACAAGTTGGTTGTCTAGTTTATTTATTTATTTATTTATTTTTGTATATACCTGTCATGCAATGGGCGGACATTGTAAAATGTCAACAATAAAAAACAAAATTAAGAAAGTTACATGGAGGCAGGACTGGGCAAAATGGAGAGAGCAAAATGCAGAATGTAGATTGTTGAGAAACAAAATGTATGGGAATAAAGAATAAGAAAGAAGCTCTGACTGGTGTGGCTTAGTTGATTAAGCGTCATCCCCTGCACCAAAAGGTTGTTGGTTTGATTCCCGGTCAGGGTACATACCTAGGTTTCCGGTTTGGTGTAGGGTGCATACAGGAGGCAACTGATCAACTGATCTATGTTTCTCTCTACCATCAATGTTTCTCTCTTTAAAAATCAATAAAAATGTATTTTTAAAATAAAAGAATGAGAGAGAAGAAAGATAGTTCCCTCATGAAGCTCAGCTATAAGGAAAAGGAGAAAGTCAGTTCATCAAGAGAAGAATCAAGAGGAGATCATTGTGTCTATGTTGCATTCTTGCGACATAGGACAAGAAGTGAAAAGTGCCAATTGGATTTTTTTTTAAGTTTGTCATTGCTGAGCTTGGCAAGAGTATATTCATATCTGTGGTAGAGAGCAGCCTGAAAGACTGAATCAGCAACCCAACTTGGATAAATTTGAAGAAGTAGCCAGAAGTTCCATGGGGGAAAAAAAAACACACAAAAAAACTGAAGTAACAGATAGTATAAACCTCATAGAGGTGTGCTTTATCTGTGGAGGTTGTAAAGAGTAGCAGTCTCAATGTGACATTGAGAAGAAAGAAATCAATTTTCAACCACCATTCCAACCACCATTTCTAACCCCAAAATCCTTAGGATGTGGTCATGATGCCTGTTCCCCAGGCAGGGCTAGTGAAGAACTGGTTAGATCCCTGCTCATCTGCCATGGAACTGGCAAAACATGGAAAGAGCAGAGAGAGGTGGGAGCATTAAAAGATTGATTCAGAAAGGTAAAGCAGAATAGTTGGACAAAAGAGAATGAACAAATGGAGGGACGATTATTCTTTGGGCTACTGGGTGGTTGACTGGATTAGAGTACTAGGTTGTCAAGTTATTTCTCTTGGTGAGCTGGTTAAAATCCACCTAGAGCAGCTCTCAGTGGTTTGACCTATGGGTTCTGTGCAGATCAAGACCTGTAAATGCTACCGTAGTAGTTGTGGGCCTGGTCTGCCAGCACCATTTAGTTGGAGAGAGCAGCTTCCTGCAATGAGGTGTCAACAAGCCTCCTGTGCAAGTCTGGATTGACTGACTTCCTAGCCCCCGTGAATGGGCTAAAGTACTCTTCCTGGGAACTGGAGACAGTGATTTCCTCCAGCTGGTAATTGTTCTAAGGCCTTGCAAAGGGTTACGCCTCAATAAGAGCTCAGTTCTTTTTGATTGGATAAAGCAGGTCTACACATAATATTGGATTATTCTATTCTGCTCTAGGTATGTTTAATCTCACTAACACTTGGGAGCCCAGGTATATGCAGTATATGTTGGGGGGGAAAAAACAGAAATCTGTATTAAATATACACATATCACCTGCTTTTTAAAATCTGGGTTTCCATTTAATCTGCATCAAAAGTCAATAAAGGATGACTAAAATTCTAGTGCCTAATCTGAACTGACCTTGTGTTATATAAATGTTGCAGTGAAGAAATTATATATAGGAACACCTCCTTATTTAAGTAAAACAAACAAACAAACAAAAAACCCAAAACAGAATTGTATGAAGAAACCCTAGTTTTAAAAACATATTTATAGCAAATTGGAGACATATATGCCAGCCTTTAAGCAGCAACATGATTGCACTAATAACTTTGGGCTCCTGAGAGACAGAATTGAGGTCAAAAACTAAATTCACTTCTACATGTCATAGTCTGAATGTTTATGTTCCCGAAAAATTTATATGATGAAATCCTAATCCCTAATGTGATGGTATTAGGAGGTGGGGGCCTCTAGGAAGTTATTAGGTCATGAGGGTGATGTCCTCCTGAATGAGATTAGTGCCCTTATAAAAATACCCTGGAGAGCTTCCTGCCCCTTCCATTATATGAGGATATAATGTGAAGATAGCATCTTGAACCAGGGGGAAGTCCTCACCAGACACTGAATCTGTCTAGCTCCTTGATCCTGGATTTCCCACTATCCAACACTGTGATTTTTTCATAGTTTCTGATGTATAGAAGCCACCCAGTTTATGACATTTTGTTATAGCAACTCACATGGACTAAGACACATGCCAATAAATATTTTCAAGAGAAAAAAAACAAACATGTTTCTTCACACTCTTCTAAATGTTATGGTAGCTTCTCAGCTAGTTCTTTCAGAAAATATGCTTTTGAAAAACTTTTTTTTTATGATCAGAGAACTTTATCTGCTGAAACGTCACACCACAAAGAGGAAAGCAAAATGGTAATTGGCAGGCCAGCTTCTGCCGGGATAGAAATGAAGGCAACAAGAGAGCAGGGTCCCTTTCCTAACAGTAGGAACTGAAGGAGAAGAAACGTTGTTGAAGGGACCCCTTAACATATGCAGCATGAATCAACAGCCACAAAAGACATAAGATCTGTGCTGTCATGAATCATGCTTTATACAAGTATCTTCTTTGGTAAAATAACTACTAAATTCATGTCTCTCAAACTGGTCTGCCTTCTCCTTTCCTGCCTGGAAGGCAAGGTAAATAGACACAGTGCCCTGACCACTATGAGTCAATCCTTGGAGATTGATTGAAAGTGGCTACACACACTGTCATGCTCAGTGTGGGGGCTCAGAAAAAAGAGCTGCCCAGTTCCTGGCCTGCCCACCCACCCACCTACCCAACTTCTGGCTCACACTCATCTTAAAACAATTAGTCACTACATTTCCCATTTTAGACTTAGATTTTTAAATTATGTCACTTAACAACCATATCTAAAAAACACAAATGCTTATTTCCCTTAGAAATCCTTGAATGTCTTAGGAATAAATAAAGGAATGAAAAATCAGGCTCTGAGACTGAATCTTAGTAGCAGAGTCAGTGAGCAATTGTGCCTTCCTTACCTGGCTTCCAGAAGTGTCAAAGTGCTGCCTGGTGAGAGCCAGGATATCTTCTGTCTCGTTCTGAGATAGGAAATAGGAGTCTTCATCCTGCCTCAGGCTGAGGAGGCTGTGCAGGTAAAACTTAAACTCCTTGTTACTCATGCTGAGCTTTGAAGAACAGATCTCTTCCTGGTGAATAATGTAATAGAGGAGGAGAAGAGAAACTCTCTGGACCACATCCTCTCTGAGCTGATCTTCGAAATTTCCTCCAGCAATTAGCAGCAGGGCATCTGGTTCAAAGCACTGGGGTGGGGGTAGGAGGGTGATGAGGAAGCATAAACAAAGACAAAAACAGAAACAAAACTCAGCTAATAGTCCTTAAACATTAACTACCACAGTATCCATTGCTTATAACTCCACCAATAGGAGGGAAAGCTGAGTAGGCCCAATATCAGATTCAAATAAGCCATGGCTGGATTTTTATGTAACAATGACATCCTCCCAGAACATCCTTATTCCCTAGGAGTGGTCCCTCTATCTCCTATTACAGTGCCACAAGTTGTCTGTTACCTTGAATAAAACCAGCTGACTCGTTGGTGTTGAAAGCATTGACCCATTATATTTAGAATGAAATTGAAGCTCGTTATTATTGTCTCCTTGGTCTGGCTCCTGCCTCCCAGACATTACATTAGCTTCTCTCCACCTCTCTCAGCAAACTTCTATCCCTGTGATTCTGTCTGTCCATCACCCAGCTCTTCCCCACCATCTTTCAGGTCTTCTTATTCTCCTCACCTCACTCATCTCAGCTCAAAGTGCCACTCCCTCCTGGATGAATCTAGAACACACTGTCTAAAGTTGAAAGCCCCCTCCTCCATCCCATGTTCTCCCACACAGTCCTGTTCAGTAGAAATAGAATGCAAGCCACAAATGTGAGCCACACATCTCATTTAAATTTCCTAGTAGCCACATTTTAAAAAGTAAAAAGGAATGGTGAAACTAATTCTAATAATATATTTTATTGATTTTTTTCATCACTTATTTATTTCTGAAGTTTCTTTGTGCAAGATACAATAATTTCAACAAACATGCAATTTAAAATTTTTAAAAATGATAAATGAGCTATTTGGCATATCTACACTAATAAAAGAGGAAAATGCTAATCGACCTTACCTTCACTATGCCCACAGCCAATCAGAGTAAGTATGCAAATTAACCCAGCAAAATAGAGGTTAATTTGCATACACAGGCCTGAGCCAATGTGAAGCCTCCTATGTGGGGAAGGGGGTTGGCGGAAGGAGCTACTGGAGTGGTGCTCCGGACGGAAGCGAGGACGTGCTGGCCCTGGATGGCCCAGGAGCGGGAATGTGCCAGCTCCCGGGCATCTGGGGAGCAGGGACGTGTTGGCTCCTGGGCAGCTGAGATGGGAAGTGGGGACTTGCTGGCTCCCAGGAGGCTGGGAGTGAAGCCAGGGGTTTATTCTTGCACAAATATTATGCAACAGGCCTCAGAAAGGAAGGAGGGAGAAAGAGATAGAAACATCAATAATAAGAGAGAATCTTGATTGGCTGCCTCCCACATGCCCCCTACTGGGGATTGAGCCCACAACTGAGGCATGTACCCTTGACCAGAATCCAAACTGGGACCCTTGAGTTGACAGGCCAATGTTCTATCCACTGAGACAAACCAGCTAGGGCTATGTGGCATTATTTTTGCCATGGTAAGTCTTTGAAATCTGGCATGTATTCCAAACTGACCAGCCTGTCACAGCTCAGGTGAGTCACATAGCAAGTGTCCAAGAGCCAAGTAGTGGCAGATATGGCACACACCACCTTTTTATTTTCTTCATGGCACTAGGATTCTAAAATTACATTGTCTACTTGATTTTTCCCTTTTTCCCCAACTGGCCCATTAAGTCTGGATTTTGTCTGCTTTGTGCACAATTCAGCCTCAGCATCTTGCACAATGCCTGGCAATGACAAGGTGTGAAGATGGAATGCATGAATGCCATCTGTCCGTTATCCTACGTAGGAGAATTGCTAAAAAATTTTTCCATGATGTTTGATTCATTTCACAGCCTATACAGACCCTGGCTCATCTAATCTGGCAAAAGAAGGTGTTTATGGGATGTGGTGGAACACTGAGGAAAAAGATAGACACAGAGGTTGTTGAGGGGAAGCTTTTCCTGCAGGACAGGAGCTGCCTTTCCTGAGAGACCGGTAGGGAGCTCCTGAGAATCCTCCAGGGACCCCAGAAGCAGCACATTGCAGGGCACCAGCCTCAGCCTAAAAGTATCGAGGGATACAAGGCCTGAGGGATACAAGGTTTGCCCCACTGTGGGACAATTTCTTATATCTTTTTTTTTTTAATTGAAGCATCCTATATAATAAAGAGGTAATATGCAAATTGACCCTCACACCCTCATGTCGTAAGATGGCCACTACAAGATGGCCACCCCATGTTGTCACAAGATGGCTACCCCCAAGTCATCACAATATGGCTGGCAGAAGAGGGCAGTTGGGGGCAATTGGGCCGGCAGGGGAGTGGTTAGGGGGTGATCAGACTGACAGGCAGAGCAATTAGGGGGAATCAGGCAGGCAAGCAGGTGAGTGGTTAGGAGCCAGCAGTCCCAGATTGTGAGAAAAATGTCCCACATTGGAGAGGCTACAGGTGGGCTGATGGACAACCCCCCCATCAGTGCATGGATTTCTTGCACTGGGCCTCTAGTAATTGACATATAACAGCCTATTAGTTTCAGTATCACACTAGTTTCAGTATTAGTATCACATTGAGACCTAAGGAGGTGAATCAGCTGAAATAGGTGTAATAAAGCCATTCTTTGTGCCAAATAACCTCCTGGAACCAAACTATTGGTCTATTAGCTACCAGTCATTGAAAGCCTTGCGTCCAAGACAGTACTAAACACTTAAGTATTTTGGCATTCCTCGGTGTATAAATCTAATTGGTTTTGAAAAAAGGTGTCAAATTATTATTTTTTGGATGGGGACCTTATCCATTGTTTTAAATGAAAAAAAAAAAATCTAGACAGCCTATGTAAAAATCCACCAAATATTTCTGCATAGTATAATGAATTTAAAATCCCAATTCCCCAATTATTTAACGCATAATGAATTAATGGGTACATTTATATGTACTATGCAAGGATACTACACAGATTCAGGTATATATTATGTTTTCCTTCTGAGGGAGGTATATTCACAATATACATAAAAACTCAGTATAAGAGAAGGTAAGTAATATACCTAAAGCCACACAGCTAATAGCACTTGCCCACTTTTTTAAAAAATATATTTTATTGATTTTTTTTTTTTACAGAGAGGAAGAGAGAGGGACAGAGAGTTAGAAACATCGATGAGAACCATCCATCAGCTACCTCTTGCACACTCCCACTGGGGATGTACCCACAACCAAGGTACATGCCCTTAACCAGAATCGAACCTGGGTCCCTTTAGTCCTCAGGCCGGTGCTCTATCCACTGAGCCAAACCGGTTTCAGCAGCACTTGCCCACTTTTAATTCCTGCTCTACCAAGGATAGATTTTATTCTCTTATTCCATTGTTCTGTGCCATGGAGAGTATATGCTGTGGACCTACCTACATAATTGCTATGCAGCCCCTCACCCAATAATTTTCTCTCCCTCCTATTTGATAAGAAGAAATTTGATCAATGAAGAGGCTAGGGGATTGTAGGGCTCTAATAGCGATCAGTGAGAATATTTTACAATCAGAGGGTTGAATGAGGTCATATTTGTATATTTTCAAGTGCTGTTCAGGTTGTTTTATGGGGCCAGCTAGGTAGAAAGAAGAGCATCAAGAACATGAGGACTATGACCTCCATGAAGCCATCGGATCATGCACATGTGGCCAGGGCTTGGTTGACAGTACACAGCAGTGTATGCAGTGTATGTGTCCCCCCTTCAGCTTATCTCGTCCATTTGTGGTTCCTTCTCAATGTTCTTGCTTTGTCTCTTTCTAGGTTTGGAATAGAAGGGGTGTGGCAGGGGGGAGCAGAGAATAGGGCAAGGTCTGTAACCCTGCAGATGTTCACTCCAGAAATGGTTTCTATACAACTTGGGAAGTACATTGGCTTATGACTTTGAAAAGTTTTAAATAGTTATGGATGCAGCTCATTCTGTCTGCCTAGAGATTTTGGCCACCTTGAATAAATAGATGTTGCCTGCCCCTTGCTTTAATTTTTTGAGGCCTGATGAAAGGAAGTTGGAATGTCAATCAAACCATTATGGACTGAACACTTTGTGCTCTTCCATGATGTTTGAATCTTAAACAAGTTCCCTTCATAAAGCAGGCAGTGGCTTGAGGAAAGGGGTCTGCAGGGAACATCAGAGGAGCTTGTGTAAGAAAATGTGGATTTCCTCCTGAGCATGGATGGGGCAGAAGCGCTGTGGGGTGGGGTGTTGTGGGGGGACCAGAATTTGCAGTGCATCACACTGGTTTTAGCTATGACGTTTTGCAGTGGTTCAGTTGAGATTGGGAGAGGATATTTAGTAAAATTGTGCAATCACTGGCACCCCAGAGGCATCAAGACCTGTCTAAAGGGCATGTACCTTGGTTGCAGGCACATCCCCGGTGGAGGGTGTGCAAGAAGCAGCTGATCGATGATTCTCTCTCATTGATGTTTCTAACTCTCTATCCCTCTCTCTTCCTCTCTGTAAAAAATCAATAAAATATATATTTAAAAATAAAAAAAAAGACCTGTCTAAAGCTCTGATTCTAGTGGAATAACTTTTTGCTAAAGTAGAACGGGCTCCTTCAGAAGTGATCCACTGATTTTTATTTTAGTCTTGTCAGGTGGAGGCATAAGGTATAAGAAGGGAGAAGCAGCAGAAACCAGTTTGGCTCAATGGATAGAGTATCAGCTTGGGGACTGAAGGGTCCCGGGTTCGATTCCGGTCAAGGGCATGTACCTTGGTTGCGGGCATATACCCAGTAGGGGGTGTGCAAGAGGCAGCTGATCGATTACTCTCTCTCATCGGTGTTTCTAACTATCTCTCTCCCTTCCTCTCTGTACAAAATCAATAAAATATATATATTTTTAAAGAATTAAAAAAAAAAGAAGGGAGAAACAGATTTTGGGAAACTGTTTTAAAATTTCAATAAACTTTGGGGAAAGATTAGTCAAAAGGGTTAGAGATTTTCCGTGGCCCAATCAGATTGCCGCCCCCAATGCAGCATCATTCACGGTTTATGTCTGCCAGGCGAGAGCCTCAGTGACAAGCTGCTACACAAAATCCTTCGTCTTCTATGCCAGCCAAGCAGTTGTCAAACCTGCGGGACCAACTTGAAGGGCTTTAGACCAAAAGATGTTTAGAATTTGATTTGAGATTATGAGTAAGCCCATGTGACTAAATCTAAATTCTCAGATTTTTATAAAGTGTTTTTTTTTTTAAGGGGGTAGGAGAATGCTAACAATTGACTGTAAAACACAAGAGGAAGGTTGTACTTCTCTTTATTCTCCCAAATAAAGATCAGGAAGGATGTTAGCTGATGGCAGGCACTAGCTTCGTGTGGGTCTATTCTAAGACTTAGTGGTATTTCTGACTTCCAAAAAAGAAAAGTCTTAACAGAGATGAGTTAAGATAAACTTGTTAGATAAACAAAATAAAGCGTGATGCTTTTCGTTGGCACTTTTCCCATGACAGTTAGACAGGTGGAGAGAGGGGTGTGAACTTAATTCGGATCCTTAAAGCAGCCAACCTCTTCCTGTGAAATGGTCTGGGAATGGCCTGGAGATTTCCTTTAGAAACCCCAAGTCCCTGGGACAGCTGAGCGGGCTGGGGACCACAGGAGGGGGCCAGTGAGGAATTTCTCAGCAGCACTGGGGGTACTTCCACACACCACTCCAGTGTCCCTGGAAAAAAAACACAAAAAAACGGAGTAGACATTTCCCGGAGGAATAGGACATGGAAGGGGACACGGAGAGCCTGAGCTCCTGGGTTCCAGCTCATTCACATGCGGCCACGTGGTCCTCACCGAAAGCAGACTGAGGAAGGAATCGCCACCTTGGTCCTTCGTCTTACAGATGAGGATGCTGAGGTTCTGCGGGTCCTAACAGCCAGAGCATTGCTGGCTGACTCCACACACCACCAGGTTCCTTTTCCTTCACCACACCTGGAACCCACGTAGGATGGCGGTTTTCATTATTACTGAGTGGAATGTATTCTTTTGGGGTTACTTACTCCCTCATTACATTAATCAAAACTCCATTCTAACCCTTCTCATTAAAAAGAGAAAAGAAAAGCCACAACCAGGCAAAGCTATCTATTTCAAAGGCTGCAGCTTGGATAAATTCATTCTTAAATGCACAGTGCCCGCAAACGCTTCCATTTATTTTTTTTAAGTATCCAGTTTATACCCAGGTTTGAAATACAATTGGGAACACTTTTTTCCTCTCCACTTTTTTCTTTTTTCAGATATTCGGGGATATGAACTCACTTTTTTGCCCTCTTTTTTACCACAAAATTTCTAATATGAATGCTGCCTCTGTGGACAAAGTCCCTAAAAAGCCAAAAAAAAAAAAAAGATTCAATGACGACTGAAGTCCTGTGATTTGCCCCAGGATGTGGGTGTTAGTGAAATCTGTCTCTCCTCACATGTTGAGAATGACACGCGAGATGTCCTGGCTCCTCGCTTATGGGTGGTTAACTGAAGCCTTTGAGCAGGTTAATCTGAAATTTGTGGATATTGTTATTGTTTTTTAGCCTCAGTCTCATGCAAAAAGAAACAGGAAGAAGGTAAAACTATCACAGCCAGTGTTTGACTTCCTAGGAATGGAACTAATTCAAATGAAAGCTAATCTAGCCAAACTCAATAATGTCACAGGAACCAACGAGGACCAAACAACGCCTCCTCCCTGAAGGGGTGGAGATCAGCTCTGCATGTTTAACATTCTCTCCGGCTAACCGGGTATTCCAGCAGCCCTAATAAGGCACATCATGTCATTAGAGAACATTTCCCTGAAGCAAATTCTCAGAGGACATTAATAAGTTATGATTCCTGCTTATTTCCAGTGGGAAGTCTTATGTTGCTATATATATAAATTAATGTCATCACAGATGAGTTGCCGATTAGAACACACGTTTTCTCTGGGAACCCCTGGGGATAGTACTAATTATTGAATTATTTATTGTTTGCACAGAGCAGAGAAAAATTCTCTGTGAGCAAGACCCTTCTTGTCATGAAAAACAAAACACTGGCCAGAAATGTTGTCCCGAGAACCCAGGGGGATTGAGAAAGTTGGCCAAAATTTATTTTGGGGGGCAAGATATTTGCTTGTCTCTTTGTTTGTTTGGCATCTTCATTTCCGTATTTGTTTGTGGGTTCATTCTGAAAAGTCTCATCAGGCAGGAAAGGAATGATGGTGACTTGTGTTTTTCTTTGGAGACAGTTTAGGACATGGGTTCTTACTGCTTGTGCTGCTGCTTTCCATCTCCCCACCATGCCACCCACCCACCCTGACGCGGACATGTTGAGCCCACATGAATGCTGATTGTACATGAAAGTAGCCTGCTGACATTTTTAAAACTTCCACGCTAGGCAAAATCAACCGCAATCTCCAAAAGAGGAACCCCCAACTTGGGCCTTTTGTGAAACCTGCCCAGTGACACGGATGTGCAGCCGGGTCGGAGCCACCTGGTAGCCTAGGAAACGGCTGGGATTGGACCTCTGGAGCCCGGGCCTCATTGTAGCTTTGCCCATGGCACTCCCACCCCCCCAGCTCGGATCCTCTATTTCCCAAAAGGTGATTCTCACTACCAACCACGCAAAAAAAAAAAATTAGGAAATGTCAATTGATATCCAGGAAGAAAAAAAAAGTACTTACAATTTCAACATTAGATAACTATCTGATTGCTACTTGGAGGCCTCAGAAAGCCAATAGCTTTTATCCAACCAATCACGTACCAGTTCCCAGCAAACTCCCCAAAGAGATTAGTAAACCAGAAAGAAGGCAGCGCTCCATTCCCACTCACACGTGAATACCTCCCAACCTGCAGAAGGGGGTGCAGCAACACTTCCATCCACATTGCCATTTTAATAAAAAAAAGAAAATGTTGAAATAAGTAATCATCATGACTAAGTGATGATACAGCATATTATTATTATACTAGAGGCCTGGTGCACAACATTTGTGCATTGGAGTGGGAGGGGGGTCCCTCAGCCTGGCCTGCTCCCTTTAGCAGTTTGGCAACCCTCGGGGAATGTCGACTGACAGCCTAAGCCACAGTTGGACATCCTTAGCACTGCCGAGAAGGCTGGAAAGGCTCCTGCCACCACTACTGCACTCACCATGCGCTCGCAGGCCATGAGCCTGGGTTGTGGCTGAGCAGTGTTCCTCCATGGGAGCGCACTGACCACTAGGGGGGCAGCTTCTGCATTGAACATCTGCCCCCTGGTAGTTAGTGCATGTCATAGCTACTGGTCATTCTGCAGTTCAGTCAATTTGCATACTACCCTTTTATTATATAGGATGAAATTAACCAATACTTACTAAGTTTATCTTTTATGCCCAATAAAATTTCAAGTTATTAAAAACAGAGTTAAGCCGAAACCTGTTTGGCTCAGTGGATAGAGCATTGGTCTGCAGACTGAAAGGTCCCAGGTTCAATTCCGGTTAAGGGTGTGTACATTGGTTGCAGGCACATCCCCAGTAGGGGTTGTGCAGGAGGCAGCTGGTTGATGTTTCTCTCATTATCGATGTTTCTAACTTTCTAACCCTTTCCCTTCCTCTCTATAAAAAAATCAATAAAATAAATAAATAAATAAGTAAATAAATAAATAAATAAATAAATAAATAAATAAATAAATAAATGTTGCCAGTCTTCAGCTGCTACATGCAGGACACCGGATGACTTTTGTCTCCCAAACAGCGGAGCTATTAGACCACAGCGCCCTGCGGTCCTGGTTAGTAGGAGATTCGCGTTGGTTGTGATTTACCCAAGTGGCTGGCTGGCTGGGGAGTCCCGCTCTCTTTTGGGAATGCCCTGGTACCTGATCCCATTCCGGGGCACTGACCAGAGTGCAGCCTCCTCGCAGTCCATTTGTCCTCCGAGGGCAGCCCGTTTCCTCCAGCAACGTTTTGATGAGGCTTCCTGAGTGGTTCAGGGGCGGGTGGTCGCCAGCAGCGAGGACGCGGAGGACGGCAGTCAGCTGGCCAGGGCTCCCAGCGCCACTGGCGTTCGGGGCGGAGCGATCCTCGGTCCCCTCGGTCCCGGTGGAGGGCACCAGGCCCAGCAGAAGGAGCCATGGCAGGCAGGACCCCGAGAGCCTTGTCCAGAAGCCCATTTCCACCTCTCCTTGGCCTGCAGGCTGTCTCTGATGGGGCAGAAGACCGGTTGGTGGTGTCCACGGTGTGAACTTGCACCGGAGGAATTTCTGTGGCGAAGGGGGAAATAAGGCTTTAATTATTATGCCTGCAACGCGTTTGAAAGGGTTCATTAATTGGGTGGCTAAGCTGCTTTGCAGTGACAAGCTGTTTCTGAACAACAGGGGGTCTGGCCTGCAGGTCATTGCTAACCCCACACAGCAGGCAGCTCTCCTGGCTGCAGACTTTGCAACTGGAGGAAAGCCAAGACTGTGGCTGCATTGCCTTTCTGAACTAAATCTAGAGTCAAAAATTAAGAAGCATACGTTCCTCTGCTCACCCTGGTATAAGTCACAGGACCCGGGACAGGAAACACCCTCATTTATCTGCTTGTTAAGGAAAACTCCCAGTGGTTTGTGGTCCCGATCACTGAAACATGTAAATAAAACTAAAGAGAAAATAAATGTTAAAAAAATTGCCAATGTCATGTAGAGTTAGAAGGTTGTATGCAAAGAAGGGTGCTGGAAGAAAAACAGTAACATTCCGAAAACACTAGCCAGTCTTTAGATTTTAGTTTATTTAAAATACAAATGATCTTACAAAAATAAAAAATAAAAAGAATTTCAAGACCTCATGAGCCATGATAAATGCACATACTCAGTGGTCATTAAAGGGATAAGAGGACAACTTCAGAGCCAATCAGCTCTGGAACAAAATTTAATCTCTTCAAACAACTGCTTAAGAAATGTCAAATGTTAACAGTATCTCATGTCAGATTTTGGCCCAGCGATGAGCTAATAATGACTGCGGGGTAGGAACAAAAATATTGGGATTACTTTTATAGTTGTTTTTTTTTGTTGTTGTTGTTTGTTTTTTGTTTTGTTTTTAAGGGTGGAAGAGTTAAGATTCTTCGGTTAGCAATTTTAAAAAATGACAGAGGACGATACAAACATTTCTAAACCCAGTGCTTACCTTCAGAAGAAAGACTAATGGCTATTTATCTGGAGCTCTGAGCCTTTTAAGTCGCAGAGAGCATTTTGTGGTTACAAAGTCCTCTGTTTTTAAAATTCCTTGACTGTGTGCTGGGAGCTGGAAGGGATTATTCCAGCCCCATGAAGTTTCCAGTTGCCATGGAGAGAGCTGCTCTGAAGGTAACAATGAAGGTGGATAAGTGAGAACTTTCATCTGGCAGGTTTTCAGGAAAATCAAATAAAAGGGGTTCATGAACCCGATTTTTTCATATTAATATTTACCAATGTTCATAGAGTATCCGGCGGTCACCTGCCTTTTAAGGGGCAGGGCAAATCAAAGTCAAAGGATTTCACCTTGTAGAATGGAAAAGTTTTAGTGTCCGTTTACAGGGTTTTTGTTTTGTTTTGTTTTGTTTTGTTTTCTTTCCAGTTGGTTCTGTGATACCTGTTTCAGCCACACTCCAACCAAGGATTTGTGGAAAAGATAGACTCTTTAGAATCTTATTTCTTTCACAAGGTAGAGAGGTTTAACAGATTTAACATGGTTGTAAATTCATAAATAGATATTTCCAAATGAGAAGGAAAGTATTTGTGGGAGGAATAAAGTTCTTACCTGGGAAGGAAGTGGATGTGAAAGGAGAACTTTGATTATCTGTGTATGTTAAGATCCTTGTATCTGCAGTAGAAGGGATTACATAGGATCCTTCGGACTTTAAAACAGGCTCTCAATGAATTACTAGTGAATAAATGACTACAAGAACAAAGTGGTAAATTTTACAGGACACAAGAGAAGGTAAAATGCAAACTTTCAAAGTGGACTGAGAACACATAAATGGCACATAGTACACAGAAACACAAAGTGACTCTGAAGAATGATGGGTAGAGATTTATGAGTTCCATGCCATAGGTGGCAGATGGGAAGGAGTGGGGGGGCTACTACTGGTGAAGAGACAGAGGAAATGAGAAGAGAAAGAAGTTAGGATAGTTTCCTCAATCACTAATTGGATATGAAAACTTGGAACAATAGAGTGACATAATCCTAAAAGAATGCTGGTAACACTGATAGGAATATGGGTGGCACAAAAGCTCCCAGAAAATGCCTGGTTTCTCAATTCCAAATATGGAGCATTTGGATTCATCTAAACTGTCAAGGAAGGGGCTTGGCCTGCGGTGGTGAAACCCAGTGCAGTTCCAGCCGCCTGCTGCAAGAAAAGCAAATTCATGAGACAGTGGTGCTGAGAAGGAAAGGGGTTACTACCATAGTTAGTATTCAAGTGTGGTCACCTGAGAAGATGGGTGACTCTCGTCCCAAAACCCATTTTAACACCTCAGTGCAGGCAGGGGTTTTTATCAGGAAGGAAAAGGAAAGCAGAACAAAGATATGAGGGGAAGAGGGCTGTGGACATGCAGGCAGTGTTCTTGCTGGTCCTGATATAAATCTTTTACATCAGCCGAAGTCTTGTATTCAAGCTGCTCAGGCCCATGCAGGATCCTTCAAAATATATAAAAACTAAAAAATAAAAAATAAAAACAAGGTTCCTAGCGATTTATGGCAGGCATGACTCACCTGGCCTTTTTTGAAGACTTATGTCCTATTTTCTGACACAGAGAAAGGTATTGGTCATTGTACTGTATGTTATTTACTAGAGGTTATTTTTCAGTTTAGAGAAGATTTCGAGGAAGATGTGCTGGATGTTCAGGCTACACAGCCTGTCTTCCCATAGGCCTGATCTGTGCAGTGCCAGCACAGCCAAGGGTCTGGCGAGCCTGAGGGAGGGCAGGTGAAAGATGAAGAATAAAGACAAACAGAAAATAAGATGGCTCTAGGTAGATCTTCTATGCCTGGCTGAGGCCACAGAACAGATCCAGACTGCAAAGCTGATGCTTTATTTATGGTCAGGAGCAAACAAGGTAATTTACACTGTTCTTGTAAGTTTCACTTGTTTTGGCAGCACTTGCGGCTCCCACAGCCCACTAGCTACCCAGGAAAGATCTAGGAAGCAGTCATAAGATCAAGCTTAATTATGCTTAGAGGGCTGTACCCTCCAAGCTGGGACTTGTTTGCAACTTTACCAGCAGGTCAGTCCAAGGCTTAACCCTATAACTGCTCCCTGCACTGATCTGGATCTTTAAGGCCACCATTCCTGGGTTGGCCATCTGGGCTTTCTTCCCCCTGAATTCCTGTTGACTGAGTGGTTGGCATTAGCTGGGTGGACCCTGAGGCTGGGGCTCTTCCTAGGCTCGCACAGGAATGGAGACTATAATGTAAACTAAAGACTTTTAACATCTGAGTTCTATTTTGAGAGAAAAATCAGGTTATAGTAACAAACTGGGTTTAACATTTACTAAGATTGACATGGGTAGCTTTATAAAAATTTTGTAAGCTTACTTTGTTAGTATATTCTTAGTTTGGTTCTATTCCATGGCTATTCAGTCTACTCTAAGTCGTATAACACATTCATTCCTGTCACAGAGAGACTCAGTGGAGTTAGAGTCCAGAACGGTCAGTTAAACAGAAGAGTAAGGAGTCTGTCAAGACCTTCCAACTGTACATCTAGTGGAGACAGAGAAGCAAGGAGGGAACAGGCTCGGGACCTTGTCTCCAGAATTAGGCCCTTGCTTTCTGACCCGGCTTCAAGTAACAGCTCTAAAATTGCCCATCCCTGCCCAAGGCCCTCTGTGCCACCTGCCTGGTTGCCACAGAACTGAAACCTAGTGTGCTCTGACCAGTACTCACAGGACAGTGCCCCTGCTGTGACTTAGGGTCCTTTTTCCTGATTGCCCTGTGCTGGTGTCCAGCCTGGAAGCCCCATAATTCCTGGTGTCAGGTTTCCCATTGTTACTGATGCCCTGGTAACAGAGCCCAGCGAGTCATCTTCCCCAGGGATTCCTGAACATCCACTAGCCTCAAGGGCTCCCAATACCTCCACCATGCCAGCCACAAAGCCCAAGACTCCCAAAGCGAACTTCCTCTTATTGTCGCAAGCCAGTGTCCCTACTCTTCCCCCAAGATTCCTTCCACCTTCCCAGTCAAACCTATAATTCAACCACCAACCAGGTTCCTATTCCTGTTCCAGGGTGAGGCAGGAATAGAGGGTCAGGGAGAAGCCCTGGATGTAGGCTGTAAGGACGGCAAAGCCAAGAAGGGCTGGCAGGCAAGTGATAGAAAATAGGAGTAAGAAGGAAATAAAATACTTGGCAGAACATGGCAACATCATCTTCTTTGCTTGACTTTGAGCTGTAGCTCTAACTCCAAGTGCCCAACCTGCCTGCTTCCGCAGCAAGCCTGAAGTCAGCCTTTCTTAAACATAACTGCATTTGCAATCCAAGCAACTTCTGGGGGTCATGAGTTTCACATGTAAACTCACCAGCTGTGTAAAGGAGCTAATTTACTCCAGGTTGGTACTTGCATGCCCGTTAACCCCCAGGCAGGGACAGACTCATGGGAGGCAGTTTCTCCTGATATGCCAACTCTTACTTGTGCTATCACAGGAAGATAGAGTGGGCGGGAGACAGGAGGGAAGAGGGGAGGGGGGCACTGACCAATTTTTCTTCATTCAGTTTTGACTCTGCCTTTTGGTGTGCTCTGAATTTCAAATGTCTTCCTCATGCCCATTTACCAGTAGTAATGTAGTTCTATACCCACCCTGCCTTGACCTAGAAAGAATTTAAAAGGGCCCACCAGGAACATGAAACATAAGACTGCAGCAACTTAGGAAGAGATTGAAAAGAGGGTAGAGCCGTCCTGTATGTACAGTGTATAATGCAGAGCTGCCTGCCCTATACTGTTTTGTAGGTTTGGGCACTGTACAACTCCAGAGACCATCATTCATTTCTACAGTAATTTCAGATTTATGTATTGACTTTCATGACAATGTAGTCTAACTAATAAAGAGGGAATATACTAATTGACCCTCTCGTTATTGCAAAGATGGCGGCACCCACAGCCAGTAAGAAGGGGATATGCTAATTGACTGTCCTGCCCTCAAATATGGCAGCACCCACAGCCA